GTAAGACTACTCCCTGGTAACAAGTCGATTCCTAAGTCGTTACGTTCAGTTAAGGATACTTCCATTAGCATATCTATGATGAAGTTAAACAAAAGTGGGGAAAGTGGACATCCCTGTCGGACACCACTGGTTGTTATCAATTCAGATGACAATTCCCATAAGCCCTTATATGGCTACGTGAGTTTGAATAGAGTGCCTTGATTAGTGCAATGTACTTTCTTTGCACTCCCTTGGGAGTACCACTCTTGGCACTGTGGGAGGTATATGAATAATTCATATGTTTTCGCTGTCTACACTTTATAAGTTGATGACTTTTTGACGTTTATAAACTAGGATGCACTATGAGATTCGCCCCTTACTAAGGTCTGTATGAAATCAAACCTGTAATATCTTTTCAAGTGAACTCATCTTTATGTAACTGATTCTGTCATAACTAAGAACCTCACTGACGAATACTGTGATGTGCACAGTTATCTGCGGTGTGGCTATGAACCATACACTTATTGTGTGAGATCTGATGGTTCTGTCCAGCTATCCAAGGTGATGTAAGGGGGATGGGAATTGAATTGTCTGCAGTATATACAACTGATGACTTTATTTGTAAACAACCAAAATAATTGTCTAGGATTCAAATCATATGTATCTGAAAAACAGACACCAGGACTTAGTGTCTGTCTGTCTGTCTGTTTTCGACATAGAACTTTGCACAAATGTGCGGAAGTTCAAGTCGCCACATTCCGTGTAGCACGCGAAGCAAGAGAAGAAAGTACAAGAAAAGCATAATAGAAACAGTGAGCAGAGGTGTGAGACAAAGGAGTAATAAAGAAATACAAAACAGTTTCATTGAAGATCATAAGTCACAGGGAGTGGATGCATCTGCGCCACTGAGAACGATTTTGAGCCATGTCACCAATTGTTTCCAACCATAGATTTTTACCGTCCCGAGGACCCCAGCCTGGAAGTCTACACCTTTCTACGTGGCTCAAACTGTTGTGGATTTCATTGACTGATGCCAAGTTTTTGTTTGACCGCCGCTAGCTTTTTTCCAGCCTGACCCTATATCCGCTAACATTGCTCGTCGAGGGAGGCGATGGCTTGGCATACGTAACACATGTCCTAACCATCTCAGTCTTTGTAGCTTCACGACTTCGTCGATTGATTTCCCCTGTTTACCTAGAACTCTACGCCTAACCTCCATGTTGCTCACCTTATTATGCCACTTTACACGGGAAATAGAACGCAGGCACCTATGATCAAAGACAGCTAGTCTTTTCATGTCTTCCACTCTCAGTGGCCAGGTCTCACAACCATAAAGGAGGACGGAGCGGACTGATGAGCAGTACACCCGCCCTTTGGTCGATAGTCGAACATCTCGTCTACGCCAGAGTCGGCGTAAACTAACAAATGCGAAACGAGCCCCTTGTATTCGTGCTGAGATTTCGTCAGAGATCAGCCCGTTGGGGCTGATGGTACTTCCCAAATAAGTGAAGCGGTCAACGTGCTCTACCACTTCACTTCCTATTTTTAAACTAGGCGTCGATGTAGTCCAGTCCTGTAACATCATCTTGCATTTGGCGGGAGCGAATCGCATGCCAAACATTCGTAGATTGCGGCTCAAGGTGTTTAGAAGACTCTGCATTTCGTCAGCGTCTTCGCCTAGAAGGACTATATCGTCTGCATATTCCAAGTCAACGAGATTATTCCCCGGTAGCAAGTCAATCCCTGAGTCGCTGAAGTCACCTAGGGTTAAGTCCATTAACACATCTATGATGAAGTTGAATAGAAAAGGAGATAATGGGCATCCTTGACGGACACCACTGGTCGTCATCAGTTCAGATGACAGCTCGCCGTAAGCCCTCACCTGGCTGTATGAGTACGAGTAGAGTGCCTTAATCAGTGCAATATATTTTTTTGGAATTCCCTTTACAGCCAAGCATCTCCAGAGAACTTCCCGATCGACAGAGTCGAATGCTGCCTTTAGGTCAAGAAATATAATGACTGTTGGACGCCGGTAGGAATGCCTATGTTCTAGAATCTGTCGGAGGGTGAAGATATGATCAATACACCCTCTTCCTGGTCTAAAGCCTGCCTGGCTCTCTCGTGTTTGTGCTTCCCGAGCACCACTCAGTCTACGCATGATTATTGAGCCTAAGACTTTAGATACTATATTAGTCAAGCTAATCCCTCTGTGATTATCACAGGAAGACTTGTCTCCCTTCTTGTATATGGGGATAATCAGTGACTTACACCAACCCGATGGGACTTCTTCTGATTCCCAGACGCTGCCTAGTACCTCAGTTAATCCGGACAGTAAGCTGTCTCCACCGTACTTAAATACCTCTGGAGTCATTCCATCAGGTCCCGCTGCTTTGCCTAGTTTCAGATTGGTGACAGCTTTAGTAACCTCAGTTAGTGACGGAGGACCTGTGTTTATATCCCATTCAGGGAGGTGTTGGATGCTCGGAAGGTTGAGCGTGGCTGTGGGCAAATTAAACTGCTCCTCATAATGCTCTTTCCAACGATCCAGTCGTCTATCCTGGGAGCTAATTATAGTGCCATTTTTTTCCGAGATTGTCTCACTAATGATTTGTCTTCTCCCACCCGTTTCCCTGATGAGTCCAAAGAGTTGCCTGGTGTTGCCTATCCTCGAAGCTTTCTCCATCTCTTTGGCTTTTGTCGCCCACCACTGTTCACGGTCCTTGCGGAGACTTTTCGTAAGTTTCCTCTTGTGCAGCTTTCGCTCCTCATTGAATTCGGAGCTCGCCGGAATAAGTCTTCTAGCATCTATCAGTTCGGATGAGGCGGTGGAGATCCAGTGGTTTTTACTCACCTTTGGGTTTACCTTATTCACAGCTTTTACAGCTGTATCTATGGCTGCCTGGATATTTTTCCAAGCTTCTTCAGGGTGAGCACAGCTGTCGAACACAGATATGTGTTTAGCTAGTTCTTCCTCAAATACGGATTTAGTTTCCTGATCGAGCTGGGGACGTGATGGTTTTACCGCCAGCTGTTTCCTACGTCCGTTCAGTCGTAAGCACACCCGAGCGCGGACCAGTGCATGGTCGGTATCTACGCACGTGTTCCAGAAGGAGCGACAATCTCCTACCGACCCACGCCAACGATAGCTTATTGCTATGTGGTCTATTTGTGTCCAGCGTTGGTTTGATGAAGGGGTCTCCAAGTCAAACAGTGTCTCTCCTTGTGTTTGAAGTTAGTGCTGACAAGAAACAAATGACTTAGTGTAATTAATTACTAAACGCCTATATCAGTCACTTTGTATAACGACCAATTCTATATGTGTATATTAGTTCATCTGCACATGTGGAGTTATGTGTATCTGTTTTGCTTAGTAGGAGTTCTGTTCGACAGAGTACACGAACACTACCCTACCTCTTTTATGAACGGTTAGAAGTAGTTCTAAAGGAAGCTTAATAATTGTACATCTTATTCATATTGAACCAATCTCTCAGAGTTATGTGCCCTTCCAAAGTCAATTTAGCCCCACTTAATTTATGTAACTGAAGCTTCAGCTATGGAACCACACAGGTGGGAGCTGCACATGTTACGCAACCCTATTTCGAGTCACGACATTATTATATGATATACGGTTCCACCTCACATCAGTGACATGGAGAATATATCTATAATAAAGGATAGACAACTGCCTATCTGGTGTAATGTACACATTTACACGTTTCATACAAATTGATTGCCTTTTATAGATAAACTATGGCAGAAACTATTATTCTGCTTATGATGTGTACCGCTTGTATTGCTGAAGAGTTACGCCATAAACTGTAACAGTTTCCGATCGTTCTTGACTTGGTTGTTGTCTCTGAACTGTTTGATTTAATTGCTTGGAGCTTTCATTGCCCTCCTAGACAACATCTTCAGCGCAGGCTCCATAAAGTGAACTTATATGAATTCTACATGAGTAATGATGGATGATATAATTGTATCTCCTGAAAACCTTTTTCGTTATTAGTTGTTAAGTTACATCTTTATCGATTATTTTTATTCATCACTTGAAATTTGAACTTGCTTGTCATGTGATTTATTTTTTTCTATTAGTTGGTAAATTTGATGTGTAATAGTAATGTGTTGTTTGTTAATCGTTGATTCAGCTGATGAGTGCCAGGCTTCTAGAAATTCGTGACATTTTCTCTGTCTTCTCTGATTGAAATGTCTACTTTTGTTCAATCGAATTGGTGTCGGTGATTGTCTAGATGCGTCGACATGAAAGAATATATATCGTGCCTCTTCACAGCCAATTAATTTATGTTCTTGGATTCTGATTCGAAGGGGACACCAACTTTGACCAATGTAGTGTTTATCACAACTTAAGCAATTCATTTCCTAAATGGTATTGATCTTACTTCCTTTTTCTGTTGGATCCTTTGTTGAGGACAATATTGAATGAAGTTATTGTGTTGGTTGACTTTTGTGTGCTATTTCTATTTCAAATGGTCATAATGTTCTAGCTGTTATTTCAGAGATATTCTTGACATATCGCAAAATGAATTTTCTAGTGGTGAAATCGGAATTTATAACTTCACAGGAAAGCTGTCTCTATATTAATACATATGCATGAATTACTAAAGAAGATCTGTAGCTCATGTGAGTGTTTTCGATCTTATTACACTGATAAGCTACATTGTTCGATTGCAGGACTTTCATTGTCTTTCTAGAACGCATATTCAGCTCCAAGTTCGAGACCCAACACGATGAACGCAAAAATGCAAGCGACACATATACATTCTCAATATTATTGTCTAGCTTTTTTGTATCATTCAATTAAATTATTACTTCGTGATACTGTATAGTACTGATTAGTAAATATAAGTAGTCTAAATACTATTTAATCATTAGTATACAGCTTGAAGCTGTTTCGCTTGTTTTCTTGATTACCATTCATGGTATCAAGTAGATAACCAAGTAGATTACCGATTCCTTTACTCTAATTCAATTCGTACTTTGTTTTCTAACTTGTGTCATTTCAGAATGAAGAGATTGTCTCATTGAAATCGAAAATCAGTCATTTAGAGTTAGAGTGTTCATCTGCTATACAAAATGCCAGAGATTTGCATAATCAACTTATTTGTCTTCGACGGTAAGTTTTTCTGCCCTGTTCCACTTTTTTAGGTTATCTTTATGTCTTGTGGTATGCAGTTTAGTCTACGTGAGATTCGTATTACGCGTTAACCTTTGTTTCTTTTTTTTGGCTCAATAGCCTAAGCACACAAATTTCAACTAGCGGATCCTTTACTCGACTCGTCTTACCTTCTTCTGGCTTGGAAAAAGGCTGGTGGCCTAGTGTATGAGGAAATCATCCTGTTGACTGGGTTCTAACCAACTTGTTAGTTCGTTATGTAAGATGTTTTAAAACAGTTGGTAGAATGCCCTGTAAGTAGGTTATGTACACTTTTTACAGAGCAAAGGTTTTGAGAATGGTACCTCAGAGTATGTTGTATTCAACGTCAGCGTGTGTCCGGCAGTTAGCTTTTCTTTGAGCACTGTGGTAGTAAGTAATTCCGTATTAGTTTGTTTATTAGATATATCATACAGTGGGACAGTATTATTTACTGGATGACACAAAATTTATTGTTCATAATAATTTCATCAATTATGATCACACGTCTTTGAAACTTGAGTTTTATAGTTTTCTGTTTTCTCTTCTATTTCTCGTCGTTGGGGTAGTAGAATTTTCCAGATATCAGAGACAGGTGATGAATCATTCCTATTACATGTATTTGCAGTTGATTCGATAATCTTTGTTGGTGTCGTCATTAATATTATTATTATCACTATTATTATTATTATTAAAATTATTATCATTATTAGTGTTATTATTATTATTATTGTCACTATCGCTACTATCATTATTTATTTTAGTTTTAGATTTCCTTACATATTTTCTGACTAATTTATCCGGATAATTATTAAGTTTCAAGGTTTCTCTTATATGTCATCACTTCCTGTCTTAGATTTTCCTTGGTACTACTTAGTTTTTATGATCTGTCACTTAAACATTCCTCCAATCCTATTTTTACTGACATAGGATGGGATGATCGGAAGTCCAAATATCTGTTTGAATGTGTGGGGTTTCTGTAAACACTAGCGTGTTTAACTTCCCATCTTCTTTCCTTTTTACGTTGCAATCTAACATTTGAAGCTCCCCTTCCTGACTTTCCAATTCATAAATGAATTGGATTGCCTCCACCCTACGTCATCCAGTAAATAATACTGTTTCACTGTGTGATATATCTAATAAACAAACTAATATGGAGTTAGCTTTCCCAGTTAAGAAATCCTTATAAGCAAGGGTATGTGATGTGTGGTACAGTATACTGATAAGTGATCGCTATCCATGTATAGTCCACTATGTAGAATATAGGAAAGCAAAGGGTCTTCCATTTAATGTATTGGATAGCAGTGACAGTGTTAGAACTCATCTGCCATTCGATTTCGACTAGTTGGTTAGCTGGTAATAAGCGCAATTCGAAACCTGATGGCGCCGAACTCTATCTCCTACGGAATTGTGGGTGAGCATTATTGAAGGATCCTGAGGAGGAAGAAAACAGCTGACCTTAGTTTCTAACTATTTTACGGCTTAGTGAAAAAAAAATCTGCCTAGAAATATTTAAATCTTCCTTTTAGTTTCGATACTTCATTTTAATCAAAACAACTTCTATGCCTTATCTGTTAACAATGTTTTTGAGAGTTGTTCACGCTAAATTGTTTTCCTTTTTTATTCTTTCGTGTGATATATAATAGTGAACATGCTGAAATGATGAACAAATCCGTACTGACTAAACGTACTACTACAAATGGGAATAATAATACTACTAGTACTACTACGAATACTAATGAAGTAAATGATTCCACTGACAGTGACAGTGTCTCGAATTCTCCAAAAATGTGTAATTTTCCTGACAGAACAAGAAAATCGAATCGGTAAGTCACTGGAAAAAAGTAATATAGTCGAATTATCTGTTAACCATTTATTAGTTTGAATTGATTACTAAAAAATAATAATAATGTTTCCTTCACGTTCCCCAGTGGAACATAGGGCTTCAAGCCAGTGACTTGAAGTTTCTGTAGCAGTGTTTATTTTTATAGGATGGTGTTGCTAGCCTCATGCCCAACCTTTCCTCTTTAGCAGTCTCATTATGAGTTTAGCGAGTTAAAGGAGTGCGTCCGTGGCCGGCAATCGAACCCCGGACCATGAGCATGGTCGGCGAGCGTCCTAACCGCTGTGCCACCGACGCACTGATTACTAGTGAAGGTTAATGTTGTGTACATCAGTTTGCTATGTAATGTTAATCTATAGGTGTTTCTCATGGTGTTAGTAATTCGTTCGGTGGTATATTATTGTCAGTAATAATAAGTTTAAATGGGAAAAGAGTGTCAGTCGATTAGGTTGTGCAATCACACTGACCGAGGTTACATTTCAATCCACCGCCTTATTCGTTGAGTAATGTTGGCTAAAATAGGATTGATTAGGCTGCAAAAGAGTTAGGGATGGTCCAATCAAGAGATGGCGTCAATCTGTGTTTTTAACTGTTCGTTTGAGATGAGGACTTTTTCAGGTGAGGTGCCGGAGATGTTATTGAGGAATAACTGGTAGTATGGCTCGGAGTCTTTCTCAGTCGCGCGGATATTCTCTTAGATCCATCAAATTCGTATTATCCTGATGTTTTTTCTTTCTTTCTCCCGTATATTTCTGTTTATCACAGTTTCTTTATGCTCCTATGTTTCTTTTTCTCCACCCTTATGTGTGCTTTTCTGTGGATCTGTAAACGATATCAGTTCGTGATCTAACCTGAAGTTTGACCATGGATTGATATCAGTAAGAGAACCATTGAAAATCAGAGAGTACTGGACAGCCGTTTCCTTCCAGTTTGGAACTTTTAAGTAGTACACACCCAATGGGGTTAGAACCTAGGGCCTTCCAGTTATAAGGAAAACTCTTATATCATTCAGCCACTGGGACCTGATGAGTCCAAAACTAGGACGAAACAGCTGCCCAGTACTCTACTGATGGTTTTTAATGGTCAAACTTAAAACAAATCAAATCCCTTCAAACTATCTCTTGGATATCTAACTTGAAATCTTTCAAATCTGTGCAAAAGACGCTTGTAGATGAGAATCACTGATTTCCAATTTGCGCTATACGTTAAATATACTGCAGGAGAATTTCCTGAAGGGTTTATAGCTCGTCTAAAGTTATTCTATCGAAAAAATCAACCATAATGTTCAGTTGATTTCAATGTATATGGATGATATTTTTGTTATTTCATACACAACAGGGTTCCTCGATAAATTCTCTCAGTGAAGATAACAGATACAGAATTAGCAGTGTAAAATAGTGTCATCATTTTATTTCACAGGTTCCCTCACCAACTGCAAATTATTCGAAATCATAATGAATTTAAAAATGAATGGCACACTTTAAATGCTGGTACGATAGAAGAGAAAATCTCATAATTTAGGGAAGCGAATATCTAGAGCATTGAGAAAGTAAACATCACAATTTCCAGTCCAATGCATTGAGAAATAAAGATTTAAAGAAATGTAAAGCGAATGGGAGTAAGAGTGGAAACAGAACATAACAGAAACGTGGACATTACTAGTCTCTATGGTTACATAACTGTTATGATGTCACCACTTTTATACTTCTCAATAATATTGAGATTGAAATTGTTTGGGACGCCAAGTTGGACGCAGACGTGGTGATCACGCAATCTCACTAGACTGACACCAATAACATAATAACAACAGCCAACTGCCCCCCCCCAGCCCGCCCTACTCAAGCCGCAATACAACGGCATGAGTCGAAATGTACACTTCAGTATCAGTCACAGTACATTTTACACAATAATTATGTATGATTCAAAAAATCACCAAGGATATGTAAATTAATTTGGAATCATAATGAATAAGATAGTGGGCGTTATTATACGTAGGCCAATTCTGATTGGTTTACTCTCAGTCTGACCTTGATCGACATATCACCGATAAAGGATAATCCATTATCTGTCTACGTATCAGCAACAAGTCAAGAATATGTAAAATTGAAACCTGCTCAATGTACCGATATTAGTAATATAACAACTAACGCAAGCAAAACCAAAATGCAGTTGTCAGGACAGTGAGAGATCGACCACGCTGTCTGTGTGTATATGCCTAGGCTGAACATGTTTCATTGTAATTACTTCTGCAGACCGTAGTAATATCAGCATTCTCTGAACAGGAATCAACATCTGTTTTTCATGCTGCAAATGTGCTGCACAATCAGTTCTCGTAGGCACAAATTTCTTGGGATGTGAGCAGTAAACCGGATGGAAGCCCCTTTTTATGTACTTGATGTCTCAAGTACACTTAAATTTATAGAGGTGACATCAAAAAGTGATGTCTATAAAAGAAAATATACCGTATATGAATTTTTACTTAAAAGGCGATGTGTACCTGCTGATATACTAACGCAAAGAATTTCTTGAAGAAAACATTCTTTGTAGGCACCCTTTACTTTGAAACAAACTGAAAGGCGACATATTACATCTGACTTACTGTGTTTGTAAATAAACTTATGTGGTTCTGGAACTCTGGTAACATTGATTATTTGACGACATTGGTCTGTGGCGGTACAAATATGTGACATTATTTATACCCGAGAAGCAGTGATAACTGAAGACCTCTTCGACGCTGACCACCCAACATCAATATCATCCCATTCACAAAGTTATTTACAAAGTAAGAGGCCTTCTTTTCATCTGCTTCTTATAAAATGCCTACTTGTCTCTATCTCTAAGCTCATTTGGATTACTCATTCAGCAAATTTTGAAGACTAATCCGTCACTCATCAGTATCAGTTAGAGAATCATTGAACAACTGTCTCGTCTTAGCTTTGGTGTCTCCAGAATACGACACCAGTGACCTAATCAGTATTAAACAGCGAGACTTTTAGGTTCCAAGGCGATTATGTTATGGTTCAGTCACTTTGTCAGAATTCATTCGTTCATGAGGTTTAACTTTTCTTAATTCGCGATATGGAGTAGTCACCACCAGCGATGTCATCGACGAACGTCTTCTGTCGCTACCGATTTGATGGACTCCACCGACTAAGATTTCTCATTAGCCATCCAAGAAGTTTATCTTACGAGCCACTGATGAGAAATGCCTCGTGATAGTATTAATAGCTTTATTCCAAACAGCACTTTTGATACAAGTTTGGAATTTTGAGCATGTCATACGGTATTACATCTAATTTTCTCATAAGAGGGTTATAATTAGACAAGTCATGTGCGTTGATAACATTGTTCAATAAGAACATCGAAATAAATCTGGAACCTCAGTGGAAAGAAAGAGTGAAAAGGGCTGTTTACTCAGTGTTCTTTAGTAAATTGGTAGTATAATACTTACAGTTTCCTCATCACATGAAATGTTTTCTGGCCAAATAAGGTATTGTGGAGTTTTGATACTTAATTTTCCGAGGATATAGTCTTTTATAGTTGCTCTTAGTCCTACTTGACGACATGTAAGGAGAGAGTTGTGTATACAGAAGATGACCAAGGTCAGGCGAGATAATATTCGCTAACTTCTTGGGTGAGTGCACGTGTCCATCTACAACAGTATTAACAAGTTTGTTTAGCGGCGTCCTATTAGCTCTGATGACAGCCTTTAGTGCTGTTCGTAGTGTAAGAAAGTTTTTCTTAAGTAGCTCAGAAAAGAATAAGGGTGAGCAATAAGGAAAGTGGACAGAATACAAGAATATACCATCAGGGACTCCTCTGATTTCAAATTCACGAATTCGACAGGTGATTGGTTTTATTAGTGTATGCTTTTCAAGAGTCTCAGGCTAGGACGAGACAGCTGTAGTAGTGTGGTTCCTGGTTTAAAATGGTTGGATCACTAATGTTTTTTTCTTCCTTCACGTTCCCAGTGGAACATAGGGCTTCAAGCTAGAAGGCTTGAAGTTTCTGTAGTAGTGTTTATTTTACAGGATGGGGTTGCTAGCCTCATGCCCAACCTTTCCTCTTTACCAGTCTTATTACTGGATAAGTGGGGTAAAGGAGTGCGTCCGTGGCCGGTGATCGAATCCCGAACCGTGTGCATGGTCGGTGGGCGTCCTAACCGCTGTGCCACCGACGCATCTCACTAATGTTCGTTCGTGACAAAATCTAACGTGAAGTTGAACAAATCCTTTCAAACCAACCCTTGAAAATCATTCACTAAGTGTTTTTGTATTGTATCACTGAACTCTTCCTTCGAATTTCTTCCGTATTATTAGATGCTTACTACTTGTTAATCAATATTTTGTAGGCCTATCAACTTCACCGTTGTTGTTGAGGTGTTATTCTACTTGTTAGCATATTATTCTAGGCTGGATACTATTATGAATTTAAAAGAAGTCGAATATATGTTTGAAAAAGATTTTAAATATAATTACATATAATTTAGCTGTAAAAAAAATAAAATTTCTGAAAACTATCTGTTCAGGGGACAACTTATGTTCTTGTTGTTACATACGTTAATAGGGAGCTTTCATGAATTAAACTCTCTCTCTCTCTCTTTCCGTGTCTTTTTCCCTTATCCCACGTTCTTCTATATGTAGACATCCATATTTTTGTACCACTTATTAGTTTTATTAGTTTCTAGATGCGACTCAGATACTCGATTACACATGCCTAATGACGTTTACTAGGTCAAATCTCTAAAAAATATAATAAATGCGATGTAAGTTTGAATAAAGCAAGAACAACAGGCTTTGTAGAATAAAATAGTACCGTCATTGATTTCGTTGGCTTCTCATCAGCTGCTTACAGCCCAAAGACATTATTAACTGTATTTACAGAAACAATTTTAACATACACAGAGTTCATTTTAAACAAAAATCAATCAATATATGCATACAATGATCATATATATAATAATAATAATTATTATTATTATAAGCACTTTATCACAAACAATAAATTATTATTGTTTGGAAACCTTTGACATTACATAATCAGATGAAAAAGAGGGTGAAAATATCCAGTTACCAGGCAGGGCAAGGAAAGACTGATAACCGCTTCTTTCTGAACGCATAAATCGCATATACTTAATAACGACTTTGGTCGGTAAGCAGCTGATGAGAAGCCAACGAAATAAACAATGAAGGTACCATTTTTATTCTAAAAAGCCTGTTGTTCTTGCCTTATTCAAATTCATAATTGGGGGAATAAATGTATTCAGTTTACGAAATAAGTATTTAAACAATGATGACAAGAAGTGAACAATTTATCACTAACTACTTCAGTTACTACTCATAAAATAATGTCAGTAGGGTGTGTATTTAGATGCAGAACATTCTACCCTCTTCTATTGAATTACTTTTTGTTAAATAGTATGTTGCTGTGTAAAATCAATTATTTGAAAAAAAATCCCCGTTTAGAAAAAGAACAATTGAATTGAGCCTAGAAATATATTCCCTTCCTATTTTAGTTGGTTTTTGAGCATACACTTAACTAAACTGTTCATGAAACCTATCTGCCTCATTGGCTGATTTAGATTTTGTTTTCTCCGTCAATGGAAAGAGAAAATTACTCAACACACATTTCCACACATTTAAAGTGAGCGACACCTGTTGTCTAGGGGATAATCATACTATCTGTTTGACCAAATCATCTCTAAGCGAAGCAGCTTCCGAACCGGTGATTATTATTATTTATTATATCCTTTAATTCCTAGAGGAACATAGGGCTTCAGCCGCGCGTCTCCATTGCCTTCGGTTTTCTCCTAACTTTTTCACCCCGCTCCAAGTTTGCCCACATGCTTTCATCTCCTCTTCACATGACCTCCTCCAAGTCACCCTTGCACTGACGACCAACTCGCCACTTCCCTTTCGGGTTCCACTCAACCAATCGCTTGTCTGGTGATGTCACTTGATGGTTTCCTCAGAGATTAGCCAATCCATCTCCATTTCTTCCTGTCTATTTGTTGCACAATCGGTTCCTGCTGTGTTGGTTCGCTCATTGCCAGAGATCTCTGTTGCTGATCTTTTCTGGCCATCTGATCTTGAGTATTGAGTGAAGAGAGCTGTTAATTAAGGTCTGTGGTTTGTTTGAGATGCTCTTTATGACGCGCAGTGCAAGTCTCTGATCCGTATAGTGAGTAGCACTGACTGACTTCACACTGGAGTTGAAAATCCGGATCTTATTTTTGATGCTGAGTGATATTGAACTTCACACAGATTTGAGAGTAATGAAAGCCTGTCTTGCTTTTCCGATTCTGGCTTTGATATCCTCGTCAGTTCCGTCGGCCTGTAGTTGAAACGATGCTTCCCATGTCGGTAGGTAAAGGAGGTTGTTTCTCTCAGGTTCCTCCCATTTGTGCTGGCTGATTGTTGTCTGTTGTTGTTGCTGTTGATGTTGGGCAGGTATCTTCATCACCTCTGTTTTATCTATGTTCACTTGAAGTCCTATCTTTGATGCTTCTTCTGCCAGCTTGTTGCTTTTCACTTGCATATCTTCCGGTTTGTGGGAAATCAGACATATATCATCGGCGAAGTCCAGATCCTCCAAGTTCTGTTTTGTTTGAGTCCGTTTTATGCCTGTTTCCTCATTGCTCGCCGCTGTCTGTCGCATTATCCAACCTACTGCAATCAAGAAGATCATTAGCGATAGTAGGCAGCCTTGTCTCACTCCCATCCTCACTTCGAAGGCTTCCGTAAGTTTCCCGTTGTGGATTACTTGGCATGCAGCATTGTCGTATAACTGTTGGATGAGGTGTATAATTGTCGATGGGACTCCGTAGTAGCGAAGTAGTTGCCGAATCACTTCTCGATCAACGCTGTCGAAGGCCTTTTCAAAGTCGATGAATTTGAGATGGAGAGGTGACCGCCATTCCAAGCTTTGTTCAATGATGATCCGTAGAGTGGCGATTTGACCAATACATGACATGTTTCTCCTGAATCCAGCTTGTTCCAGTCGAAGTTATTCGTCCAGGTTGGTGTGTTTGATTCCCTCCAGGATGATGGGGCTTAGTATTTTGCTTGGGATGGACAGGAGCATAATTCCGTGCCAGTTTTCGCATTGACTTAAGTCTCCTTTCTTTGGTAGTTTGAGTAAGTATCCTTTCTTCCAATCCTCAGGTACTTTGTCCTCTTTCCAAACCTTCTCCAGCAGTGGGGTCATCAAGTCCGCTGTTGTCTCTGGGTCCATTTTCAAAGCTTCTACTGGGATTCCATCTGGTCATGCTGCTCTTCCAGCTTTTAGCATCTTGATTGCATTCAAGACTTCTGATTTTGTCGGGAGGTCGATGTTCACTGGCAGTTCTGCTTCCGTTGTTGGTATTGTTGGGGACGCTGTAGGTGGCGGTCGATTTAGAAGTCTTTTGAAGTATTCAGCCCAGTGTTTTCTTTGCTCCACCTCTTTGGTGATTGACTTTCCATTGTCACCCTTTACCGGTGATGCAGGGATTGAATGCAGAATGTGTAAACATATAAGGAACAGCTTTTGTAATATAAGGTCAGTGTTTTTGTCTATGGGAATGTGTTGAACACTGAAAATTCTGAAAGTTAATTCATCATATTTAAAGCGTATCTAGTACTGTATGAGCATCAAGAGATAGATACGTTTCACAAGTCGCTTAATGAGATACTGCCCAGATATAGGCAGATAGTTGTCCTAGGCGATTAATTTTCGAGCTTTTTGGCTTGAAGTCTGATTCATAGGACAGCAGAGCAAGGTCAGAAGATTCGTTCCATTAGTTGCCGGTAACTGAAGCAAGTTCACTCGACACTCCTCTATTCTGGATCGTGAACCTTATGCTCACCATGGGTTTAGAATCCGGGTTTCCTAACTCCGTAAAATGAACACTGCATCCCTACGAGTCTAATGATGATCTTCAGGCGATCACATTCGCAAGTTCAGCAGAGACTGCCGATGTGTGGTAACATGAGAACATTCCGAAGGCAAGGCTGGATGAAGACCTAACGACCTGCCTATACTGCCACCTATCTGTACAAGTCTATGCAACCGTCAATTTGATAGAAATATCTCGCTACTTGGTGTCACTTGGGTATCTAATAATTATTTAATTTCACATCATGAATATTAAATGCCTTACTTTTATTCATCGTAATTCTTTGTTTTTGTGTCTGTATTTTCCTCTGTCTTTATATTCAGTAATTTATCCAAGGAGTTTTCAAAGTATATTACGCATCTATTACCTGATGATGATGTCACCTTGAATGAAATTAACCAAAACTTCCGTCTAACTGATTCCTTGGATGAATTTGTAATATTTTTGGCACAACACACTGAAAAGATTTTATCTTATCTAGTTGACAAGGGAAAATTGGTAAGTAGTTGGTGTATGTGCGTGTGTATTATTATTATTGCTGTTCTCTTGGGTTCCGAGTGAAAAAATTGGCTTCAACGCCATATCTTCATTTTGTCCTGTCCTCTACAGTCCTCTTTAGCTGGCTGTATGGCTGCCCATAGACTCTCATCTCCTCCTGACACTCGGACTCACATCCAACTCGCCGTTTCCCATTCGGGTTCCACTCGAGCAGTAGCCTGGCGCTCGATGTCATCCAACAATCTCGTCAGGATGTGTCCAATTGATCTCCACTGTTGGGCAGTAGTTTCTTGCTGCTAATCCTTTCTGTCCGACCATCCGATTTTCACTATGGAACCAACAAAGGCAGCTGTTGACAGAAGTCTGCCGTAGCCTGTTGGAAATGCTTTAGGTGACGCGTGAGCCAAGTTTCTGACCCATAGAGAAGAACTAACTAACTTTATACTGGTTTTAAAAATCTGAATTTTATTTATTGTACTGAGTGCAGAAGTTTTCTAAACTGATTTTAGATTGATAAAGGTCTCCCTTGCCTTTTTTCAGTTCTAACTGTTTTTAATATGATCATCTGTGGAGTGTTCCTGTAGTTGAAACGGTGCTTCCAAGATAAGTAAAAGAAGTGACCTCGTTTGCATTCCACCCTTTGATAGTGATTTGTGCTTTTTGTTGTTAGTCGGGGGGGGGGTGTCTTTATCACCTCCGTCTTCTCTATCCCCACTTGAAATCGCCTCTTCGCTGCCTGCTTCTTTTGCCAGTTTGTTGGCTTTCACCTGCAAGTGTTCGAATTTATGTGACATTAGACATAAATCACCCAAAAATCCAGATCTAGAGTCTTTTTGTCAATTCAACGTATCCCTGATTAGTTGCTTTCTGTGCACAGCTTTCAGCACAATAACTTCCACTTCAATCAGGGATATCACCAGTGATGGTTATCAGCCTTATGTTCACTGAATTTTCTGTTGTGAATCACTTGACATGTGACGTTGTCATCTACTTGTTGAATGAGATTGATAAAGGTTTACACGCACTGCATTCTGTAGTGTTGGAATAGTTTTGCAAATTACTTGATGGACAATGCAGTCGAAGGCCTTTTCATGGTCGATCAAGGTGAAGTGGATATTTGACTGTCATTCTGTACTCTGTCCTATGTGTGTATGTGAGTACATGTATATTTTATTAGTACTGTTTGCCTACTAATAGATTACTTTGATTTTTTTTTACAGACGTGTACTTTTTGTTGAAATTATATTAGTTAAAGAGATCCAATAAGAAAGCGAGAAGCTTTGAGTGGTCGTTTTTCTTGTCAGCTAAATAGTGCTCAAAAAGTGTCCATTTAAAAAAAACCCACTGGTGTTAACCTTACTTCTAACTGTGTAGTTTGCAAGCAACTCATCCTAACTGATGTGTCACACTAATTCGCCAAAGTGACTTGTCTGGGTTTGAATGGAATCAGTTTTCAGAAATGAAGGATTGATGCCAGAAGAATGGTGAACTACCTTCTGTGATGCTTAGGTCATCTTACTCTGCCAAACAAGTCACGATTGGTGTGAGTGATTTCCGATCCGTGTGTCTGTCATATATTACTTATGCTTACCGAAAGAATTGTGGTGTCGAAAGTGGTATTAGCATACAAATACATTATTATTTACATTTAGTGCTAATGTGACTTTGAGTTGGCGGGTCTCTGGCTTGAATCCAGTGTAGGGACCAAGACCGACGTGAACGCAAGAAATCAATCTTTGCGTTCTGCTGTACAGGTGATCAGAACTTCCTTGAGTTACTCACAGTCACAAAATGCCTCAACGACAACAAAAAGACAGTTATATTTCTGATAAAATCAGTGGTAACATTTAGCAATAATAACATACCAAAAACTCAGAATTACCTCGACAATGTCGCTGGGTAACTAGACAGATCGAATTAGATCTCTGTTGCAAAGGAAGTACTATGCAACAGAATTATTTGACTAAAATCAACTGCATGAAGTATTTGAGTGTCAAGATGAATATTCCCGAAAAGGTGAGAAGAAAACTCTGTCAGCAACGACTACACGCTAAAATATTCCCGCGGACAGTTCAGAGTCTGAGTAACCTTGACTCACGCAAAGAAAATCGTGGTTGTAAAACAACACATTGTTAATATCATCAAACAACCATTAAAATCAGAGATCAAACAGGTAAATCTACAAATAATAGGGATCAAATCATGGAGAAATAATCGATAAATCCAATGTCAGAACAATGATATACAACAGTCTAGGAGAAAAACGGATAATTGTCACAAAGTTAGTTGGAACATCCAAATAAGTATCAATATTGTAATCAGACCGTTCAAGAGGGATTTCCGATCACAGTTATTCCATTACATCCAGCTCCACTAATTTCAGTAGCTCGGTGGTATCATCAGCCCTCACATTAACAGACATGTGATATCTAGTCTGCTTCATGAGAAATTTGTGTTCTGTCAGTTTGGTATAAGTGTTTATTTAGCCCTCAACAATCACTTGAACTATGGATGTTGATGAAACTCATGTCTCACGTCCTTGATTCAAGCTCAAGTCATTCACTGTCTAGCTTAAAGACTCAATAGGCAAACTATATAGATTATGACTCACTTCATGTTGCACTGTTTCATCTGTTATTATTATACGGTTGGAAGCAAGCGACAGGAAGCCTTGCACACCTAGGTTTCGTGCTTGTTGGCACTCATCAGTCAGCAAGGAGTATCTGCAACCTTGAAGGAACTCATATCCCTTCTGGAATTCGAACCTGTGTCACCCAGTCACAGATGTTATCACTGTGTTATTTGGGCTCACGATTGATCTTGCTGACTGGTGAGTACCAGCTAGTACGAAACCTAGGTCAGGCGAGGCTTCCTACCGATCGCCTCCAACCATCCAACACCAGCAATTCAAAGTGGTCTGTTATGGCGAGTCACCTAGAATGCTGGTCACACTGCAAACTTTGACTGATAGAATTCAGTCTCCACCATACAAAGCAGTGGATACATGACACTAATTGCTAACTGGTGTCTAATCAAAATATTGTTTCATTTGCTTATCACATTCCTTATTTTTCTCCATATGTTAACTATTTGTACTTTCTTTATTTCTTTTCAGATATTTTTACCCTTATTAGTTCAAATAATTTGTCTACATCCGAATTCTTCTGTACGTGATCGTTTTCTAGGCTTGTTATTCGACTTTTTCTCATCTACTTCAACAATATCAACTTCGGCATTGATACACTCACCTTCATTAATTGACAATAAAATTTACTTTGATTTTAATTTATCAAATTTAACAAGTATGAATTATGAATCAACTACCTCAGTGAACAACAGCATTAATAATCATAACAATAATAATAACAATAATACTGGCAGCAGCAATAAAAGTAGTCATAATGAATACTCTAAGCATATATTAAATGCTCTGGGATTGTTAGCATCATATTTAGGTAAGTATATAAAAGTCTTATTTGTTTATATTATGTGTGTAATTGTTCTCTGTTCTTTTGATTAACTTTTTGTTATGTTCGTGGAAAATACCCATATGGACATTAGAAAAAAGAGAACACGAAGTTCAGCAAAGATAGCTTTTCGGTAATTTCATCCTAAAAAGCTGTATAATCGCATTTATATAGATTATTTTACATGGATACAATTATTATTTGTTTAATTCCACATAGTAACGAAGTTGATAGTAATATGATTAATTCAATATGCACATACCTGTTCACTTGCTCGTGCGGAGCCAGGTACATAGGTCGTTGTATGCGCGTCCTTTCAAAACGTGTTATAGAACATTACCCAGCGTGGCTGCAAAGAGGATGCACCGGTTCAATCAGAAGTGCCATTATTGAACATCTGGTCAACACCTCCCACAACACCTCAACTGATTTTTTCAAAGTGATTTACAAAGTCAACAGAAACCTACCAAAAACAGTATGTTTCCGACTTCTTTGTACTGCAGAAGCCCTCGCAATATGTATCGAGAAGCCGGAGCTGTGTGTTCAATAGAAATTAGTCCAACCTCTACAACTACCATGGGTGACCTAGTTTGGTATGTTCCCCCTTTGCTTCCGTTTTTTTCTTTCCTCTTCGTCTTTTTTCGCTCTCTCTTTTCCTTTTGAGCATTTTTCATTCGCCGCGTGTCTGATCCTTAGTCCCTCAGTCTTCATTATGTCCACCTAATTTTTTTTTCCAGTTATAAAAACAGTTATTTTAAGTTTGTTTCCATGCTCCTCCCTATCACATTTGTAATCCGTTTAGAATAACAATTTTACAATTATATTCTAATCCTGTGTAACTTTTTTGTTTCTATGCCTCTTGTAATCTATATTCATACCTCCTAACTAACATTTCAAGTTGAAAATTTTGATTTCAATTTTTTTCCATGCTCATTTTGTTCACATCTGTAATTCGTTCTATCCCTGCGTTTCTAAGCCTCTTGTAATTCATATCACGTTGAAAACAATTATCACCTTCTATTTGACTTAAAATTATTTCTCCAGTTATCAAATATTAATTTTTTGCATACGTTGTAACTATTTTCTAATCCTATGAAATCTTGTCTCTAAGCCCCTTGTAATCTATGTTCGTACCTTCAAACTTTTATATCAAGTTGAAAATTATTATCACATTCGTTACTATGTGGAATTAAACAAATTAGAGTTGTATCCATGTAAAATAATCTATATAAATGCGATTGTACAGCTGCTTTTGAGAATGAAATCGCCGGAAAGATATTTTTGTTATCTACTTACTCAGTTTAATTCATGAATGAGTCCCCATCCAAACAAAAAGGAAAGACAAAACAAGTCGTTCAACGAAGAGTCTCTTTTCGGCGCATTCATTTCCTTTACATATACTACAGTCACATTTTTGGAACAACTAGTGGGTTGTTCCTCTTAACCTTCGGTTCGATATTCTTGTCAATGAGTCTTGATGGGTATACATTTCCGATGGAGATTTCCTTCAGAAAATCTACTTCTGCTTCTTAGGCGTCAGGACTATAGATGCCATATCGGATCAGAGTGGCAAGTGATATAATTAAATTTTGTTTTCTTTCAAAAAGCACCCAAGTACAGAAACTTGTTAGTTGACCTTTCCAAGTAGATTTACTGTCAACTAACCTTCTTAAGGTTCCGTTAGGTTTTCTTGTTAGTTCCATATCAAGATAAGGGATTTCGGATTCGTGTTCTATTTCTAGAGTGAATTTATTGCTGGAGGACAGTTGTTAAATACTTGTAGCATTTAACTGTGGTCCTATCTGCTGTCGCAAATGATGAAAATGTCATCCACGAGCCTTGTGTACGGTTTGAAATTGTCAGTGGTCGACCTTAATGGACGGTTCTCAAGGTCACCCATGAAGCAGTCTACTAGCAATGGAGCCAAAGGAGATTTCATTGTAATATCATCTTTTTGTCCGTAACCGATGTCATCGAATGTGAACTCCACATCGAGAGTATACCACAACAGCAGTTCTTTCAATTACACTGTAGGCATTCTAATGTTGAACTTGTTATTGTCTATATGTTCACATATAAAACGGACAGTTTCCGTAAATGGGACATAGGTGAGAAGTGATTTAGTGTCGAAAGATGACCTCTTCACTGAATCATTCAGCTTAACGTTACTTTTCCTGCTGATTAAAAATTCGCATCGTCAAGTGTCGGTTCGCAGGGATTTGTTTGATTTGAATTGATATTTCATCACTAACTGACATCAATCAGAGGGCGATTGAAACCAGGGGGGGGGTATTTGGCTGTCACAGACATAGAAAAGTTCCACTTATAGTAGTTGATGCATATTTGCTAAAAGGTATCAAAACAGGCATACCGAGAGTAGCCTTGAATGCTAAAACTAATATGTGAAGTTTTTAGCAAGTATCGTAGCTTAAGTAAACATTGTCGCTAGGTGTTTTTGATATTGTGTTAATGGTACATTTTAGTTTTGATCATGAGTTGATATCAGTTAGAGAACCATTGGAAAACCTGAGATTACTGGATAATCGATCAGCTGTTTCGTCCTATTTTGGCATTATTCAGCAATACTTACCCACTGACGTTCGAACTCAAGACCTTACCGTTACAATGCAACCAGACTCCTAGACTAATCAGTCATTGAGACCCGATCCGGTAACGCATGAATTCCAAATTCGGCCAGATCGCTATATATATAACAATCACCAACTAATGTCATAGGCGAGTAAATGTTCTCCTCATAACTGACTCAGTGGACTCCGCTGGTTACGAATTCTCACTAGAACTCCAAGTAACTTCTTGCATAGAGCCAGTACCCAGTGAGCATCAGACTAGTTATCAAGTTTGGTCTTCAGGGATTTGATTATTTACAGGTTAGATCATGAGATGATGCCAGTTGCATTGTCAATTCTCTTTGTTATGTGCCTTTCTTTTCCATTCCTACGTGACATTGAGATATGTTTTTAAATTAATTCCGGATAATAGGAACACCTTCCACCACTATACAGCACTGTCAAGCGTTACGATAAAGTTTACTTGGTGGTACATACTCCCAGGTTATTTATTGATTAAAATTTTATTAAAACGCAAACTTGGTATACTACAGGCACCAAGACATGCATCACACAAAATCTCATAGTTTGTCCGAGGGCCGAGAAACCTCCTGGACGCCCAGGGCGAAGTAGGTGGTGGCTGTTCTAAACAGCCACCCCCTCCAGTATGTGACTTCAAGTCAAGGCGTCAGGAGCTATGTTCCCATGGTTTGCGGTGATCAAAACATGTACATACATTATCTGTTACTTCCAGATTCTGGAGCCGATGCATGCCATAAGTTCGGAATCGAGGTTTTTCAGATTCCGTAGTTAGAGTTACATGCGCCAGATGTTCGCATCAACCTATCAATTTCGCGAGAAACACACCTGCCGCGTGTACGTAGTGAATAAGACTTACCTGGCCGAGGCTGTAAAATTGTGGCCACATGAAAGCGTTTTAAGCGGACACCCGAGTGTTCAGCCCTTGACGATGACTTCATTGATAGAGAAACTTGTCTTCGCTGACTTTTCTTTCATCATTAAATACTTCAGAACTCTAAGAAGTTTTTACACCAAGTAAATCTGAGATATGTAGATAGGTAAGCACTGGATTATCCTTTAGATGGTTGGAGGCAATCTGCAGGAAGCCTTGCACCTTACTAACTAGTGTTCAATCAAAAAAATCATTCTTTATCGGCGATATGTTGATTGAGGTCAAACTGAAAATAAACCAATCAGAATCGGCCTACGTATCATAACACACGCTATCTTATTGATCATGATTACAGACTAATTCACATAACCCTGATGATTTTTTGAATCATACATAATTATTGTGTAAAATGTACTGTCGCTGGGGGACAGGTGCCTGTCGTTATGTTATTGGTTTCAGTCTAATGAGACTGTGTGATTACCACGTCTGTGTCCAACTTGGCGTCCCTATTCCAATCTCAATTTTAATGCGAAATATGAAGGTGGTGACATTATAACAATTTACTGTATGAAACCATTTCGTACCTGTGTATACAGGATCACTTGAAAGCTAGTCAAGGACGACAGGATTCTGTGACGTAATCATGTCTAATGTCAAATCATACTAGTTGTGCAACAAAGGTCTGTAATGACTCAAATCTAGTGAATAGGGTCTCGATCTTTTAAACGGAGGACGCTGTGTTGAAGTTTCGGTGAGAACACAACCAAACACCTGGTGGAGAAGCAGACATATCCAGATAGAACGAAACATGGTTCTCGAATTCTACCTGCTAATTAAGATCAAAAACAGAAATAACTTCAAAGTTTTAAGTCAGTATAGATTGTTAACCGAAGTTATTGTTCAATTTTGCAGGATTGCTTTTGACGAAATATTCTATCAGTGCTGTTTTCACTGCATCTTTTTTTAGGTCCTGCCCGTCTAGAAGGTGAATTGTTACCAAGTCTATGGTTGCAAATTAATAAATGTTCAACTGATGCTTCTCGAAGACTTCTTTTAGTGTCTGCATGTGGAGTGATTGCTCCACACCTTCCGGTTAGTTTGAAAGTTATCCATTGGTGGTGTTTATGTATTTTACTGTTGGGTACTATGTGATGAGGAGACTTGAGGTGATATTAAGATATTGGTCGCGGTTTATTAAATCATAGCTTTGGTTTTGATATAATAACGGGTTGTAGATTCCAATGGCAATTTTTGTTTCAATAAACAAAGCAACTGACGATATGGTTTCGTAATACTTGTACATAAAATGCTTGTCTTGTTGCCTTACTGATGGAATTGTATTAGGTGATGGCTGTTAAGAAATATCGAGTTTTTCGTTTAATTTTGATTTAGCTGTGTTACCTGAGCTGTTTGATTTAATTGCGTGGAGCTTTCATTGCCCTCCTAGACAACATCTTCAGCACAGGCTCCATAAAGTGAACTTATATGAATTCTACATGAGTAATGATTGATGATATAATTGTATCTCCTGAAAACCTTTTTCGTTATTAGTTGTTAAGTTACATCTTTATTGATCACTTTTATGCATCACTTGGAATTTGAACTTTCTTATCATGTGATTTATTTTTTTCTATTAGTTGGTAAATTTGATGTGTAATAGTAATGTGTTGTTTGTTAATCGTTGATTCAACTGATGAGTGCCAGGCTTCTAGAAATTCCGTGACATTTTCTCTGTCTTCTCTGATTGAAATGTCTACTTTTGCTCAATCGAATTGGTGTCGGTGATTGTCTAGATGCGTCGATATGAAAGAATATATATCGTGCCTCTTCACAGCCAATTAATTTATGTTCTTGGATTCTGATTCGAAGGGGACACCAACTTTGACCAATGTAGTGTTTATCACAACTTAAGCAATTCATTTCCTAAATGGTATTGATCTTACTTCCTTTTGCTGTTGGGTTCTTTGTTGAGGACAATATTGAATGAAGTTATTGTGTTGGTTGACTTTTGTGTGCTATTTCTATTTCAAATGGTCATAATGTTCTAGCTGTTATTTCAGAGATATTCTTGACATATCATAAAATGAACTTTCTTTTGGTCTTTGAGGGCAGTATTTCGATTTGGGCTTGAAAGCTTTTTGATGAAACTGTATGGGTATTCATTCTTCTTGAAGACAGCAGGTATTTCTCTTGGATCCTCTTCATCATTGGAGTGGCACAGTGTGTTGGGACTCTTTTAAATATTATCTGCACACAGTTTCTTTTGTGAGTCATCGGGTTATTATTCTTATAGTTGAGTATTCGATCTGTGTGTGTTGATTTTCTGCATGCTTGTGTTTCTAAATTTCCCCTGTTAGTTCTCTTGATTAAGACGTCTAAGAATGGAATTTTATTGTCTGATTATTCTTCTAATTTTTATTTTTTTGATTACAGCTTGATTCCACACTGTATTTTCGGTACAAGTATGGAATTTTCAGCGTGGATATCGGTGGCCCAAAATTCGCAGGCCAACCATAGATATAAAGTGTGCGTCGGCGTGGGCTCGAACCCCGGACCATGTGCATGGTCGGCGAGAGTCCTAACCACTGTGCCACCGACGCACTCTCTCTCTCTCTCGTAATTTTTAATGCCTTCAGATATGTTGTTCAGTAATTTGTGTATGTATTCTAAATTATTTCTTTGAATTATTACGAATGTATTATCAACACAAAGTATTAAGATTTTTGGTGTAATTATGGGTTGGGATATTAATTCTAATCTTTGCATAACGACTTCAACTATTAATCCTGATATGGATGATCTCATTGGAGTTCCTCTTATGCTTTCGTATATCTGATTATTGAACTGGAAATATGCTGAGTTCTATCCATCATCCACCTGAGCTACAAATTTCTTCCCGCACCCGCGGCCAGGGTTCGAACCCAGAACCTTCTGGTTACAAGGTGAGCTCGTAGACCGACCATTAAGCCAATGGGACCCGACTCATTGGCCCATGAATTCTAACTTCTTCCAATTCATGACATAGTGCAACCACTTCGCAATGTCCTCTTCGATGAGTTACTGTCTCACCTCCAACCTACTGTATCCTACTGATCACGACTTCCCACTAGAACCCAGGTAACTGCCTGAATAGAGCTAGTCGCTAGTGAGCATCAGATTATTTTCCAAGTATTGGTTTTGTAGGGATTTTTGCCTAATTGCATGTAGGATTTCATCATGAGCTGATATTAATTAGAGAACCATTGGAAAACCTGGGAGTACTGGATAGCTGTTTCATCCTAGTTTGGACCTCTTCATCACTACGCACGCACCGGTCTACCAAATTGTTTAGCTGAACTGTTAGCGAATGAGAACAAAAGATTTTCGAGGTTAATTTCGCTGAAGTGAACTGTCAACGTAGAACGTCTCACAGAAGTCCAGTACATATAAAGGTAGAAAGGAGAAAACGAATAAATGAACAGAAACCCTGATAAACAGAAATGTACGGGGAAAAATATAACTACGTGGGAAATAATGAAAATGCAATGGATCTGGCAGATCACAAAAGGCAGGATAAATCTGTGCCATTAAGAACGATTTTCAGCCATGTTACCAACAGCCTCTAGAGGACCTCATCTAGGTAACCTGCAGAGATTGAATCACTCAGTAAAAAATTCACGGGTTGACATCATGCTCTGATTTGATTACCTCTAGCTCTTTCCTATTCTAACCACATATCAGCTGAAATAGCTGGATGAAGAAGGAAATGCTTTGACATTGATGGATTGTTATTCTTATTCACAACGCTTACTGGTCAAACAAAGTCCATGTTACACTCTGTTTCATCCGGTTCTACCTTATGTTGTCAAATTGTGTAAACCTAGAGACTATTGTTCTATGCTTTTCAACTTTCAGTAACTCATTGGTTAGGAATTAACTGTAACAGGAATTAGGTTGAAAGTAATACTAAGTTTCTGTATACAGTGAGTACAATATTTATCAATAAGGTACTGGATGTTTTACTTCAGTATCGTAAATGTCACTTGCTACTCTGATTATTAAGGTTAATAGCATAGTCTAATCATCAGTCTATCACTCTCTCATTGTCAATATCAACTGCCCATATCTTAAGTTACATCCCGAACTGAAATCAGTTGGAGAACCACTCAAAACTAGGGAGTCCTGAACTGCTGTTCATCCTAATTTCAAACTCTTCAGCTGTTCGCTCCGCCAATGATTGAATCCGTTAACCGTTCAGTCACTGGGCTAGAATCCAATGGCCTAATAATTCTAACTTCTGTCAACTCGCGATGTATAGCTCCACAGCCAACCAGTGTCATCGGTGAGTATCTCTTATCACACTCGACTTGATGATCTTTGGTAGTCACAAACTCGTAGGGACTTTATGCAGTAGTTAGCCAGTAGACTAACATTCAAGTGTTGATTCGCAGGTTTGATCCCCAGTGGATTCATTTATGCGTACTGCCGAATTTGAATGAAACATCTGTCCAGTTCACCCGGGTTTTCACTGATTCTCTAAGTGATATTTGCTCATGATCTAAATTTGAAATAATCAAATCCCTGTAAACCAACACTTGGGAAAACCTCTTATCATAGTTCATACATTTTTGTGTGGTTACATCTATTCAAGTTCAATAGCCAATATATATTCAAGTGTTGGTTTGCTGGGATTTGATCGATTTCAGGAGTTCACCAATAACTGACATCCCATTGAAAAACCTGGGAGTACCAACACTTGAATATCAATATGATGCTCACTAGTGACTGGCCCTATTCAGGTAGGTAGTCATCTGGGTTCCAGTGGCAATCTGTGACAAGTGGGGGTGCAGCAGGTCGGGCGTGATGACAAATACATGTCGATGACATTCACTGGTGGTCGTACCATGTCATATATTGGCAAAAGTTAGAATTCATGGGGTGATCATTGGATCGGGTCCCAGTGGCTTAAAGGTCTACGAGCTCACTAGCCTTGTAACCATGAGACCTTGGCTTCGAACCCTGACTGTGGTTGCGTACTGATGAAGAGTCCCAAACTGCGACGAAACAGGTGTCTAATACTCCCAGGTTTTTCAGTGGTCCGCTAACCGATGTCGGTTCATGATAAAATCCTGAAGTCAATAAATAAACTAACTTAGATACTGTGTTTAGGATATGGACCATTTTTAACATGTATTGGTTCATGATACTAACTAAACAGAACAAAACCAAAATTTAGAAATGTAATGTGTATTTTAATCTTCTCTCAAACGCTAAAAGAATCATAGACCTTAGATTGATGTAACACTTTGCAAATAATATCATTCAACCTTCACTATGCCTATTTTCTTTAATCGAGTTCTGTTCCTTATTACAGTCGTTTCAGCGTTTCTACCTTATTTACACCCACATCTTTCCAGGAGACAACATTACTCAACATACTTCACTCTCTGTCTATCTTGTATAGACTGTTGCTGAGACAGCAAAAAGGTTCTTCATTCTTACTGCGCTCACTTGGTGTTTGTGTGATTATGCTATTGTTATTAGCAACTAGCGTAGGTTGCTCCACATAATTTTGTTTAGCAACATTTCGCCGGTCATTCCAAATCTGTTATCTATGAAGCAAACTGTACGAAGGTTTGTTGTCTACTGATGATGGATAATTATTGCTGTATGTCAGTGAAATAACGACATGGTTAGCGGTTTGGTGTCATAGATCACAGGGACTGGTAATTTGGCGGCCAGTATTTCGAGACTTACTGTGACTCAGATTTTCGTGTCACTTTCAATCATCAACTCAACACATAAATACATAGACTTGGAAAATATGAGATTTCAGAGGATTTTCTTTCGATATTGCGAAAAAATACTTTCACAATCTATGTTTTATTCCTTTGTGTTCTAAGTGGAACATAAGCTTAGGAATGTGTCGACTGGGAATCGAAAACTTGCCACGTGATTGTATAGCGAGCTTTTGCCACCGAACCACCGACACACATGACTGACCAGTTTCAGCATAGAACTTTGCACAGAAGAGTAGGCGTTTGAGTTGCGACTTTCCACGTAGTGCACAAAGCAACAGAAAAGAGAGTTAAGATAGGTTCAAATGAGAGATGATAGATAACAGAAGTCTGAGGGATAAAGAATAGTACTATGGACATGAACAATAGAATTTTATTGGACATGATAATTCACAAAGAGTGAATGCATCTGCACCACTGAGATTTACGATTTTGAATCATTTCACCAATTGTTTCCAGCCATTGATTCTTAGCATCCAAAGGACCCCAACCAGCCAGACAGTCTACACCTCCCTACGTTTCTGGCTCAAACTGAATGTCAAACATTTTATGGACTGATATCAGACATGCGTAACACATGTCCTTACCATCTCAATTGATGTGACTTTACAGCCTCATCGAATAACTTCTCCTTACCCAACACTCAACGCCTAGCCTCAACACACATTCCCCCCTCTAGTTATTAACATTTTAAATCCTGATCACAATTTCTGTTCTATTTCTCTCAGGCCCATTTACAATCTTCAATTATGCTGAGTATTATCGAGTCAAGTCTTGATGAAGAACGTGATCCAGTCATTCTATCAGCCAGTATACGTTCATTATCTTGTCTAGTTAGTTCAATGTCTGATTCACATAAACTCCCGCAAATCATTCGTCGATTAAATTCATTTATTATGCAAACAATTTATATATTTAATGATAAACAACAACAATATAATTACTACCTATCGAATAAAAGCTTTTCAATACTGCTCACATCAAATCCAATATATAATGCTGTAATGAATTGGTTTCTACCGTCTGTTGCTCAATGGTGTTTAGAATTGGATTCATTGCATCAAATTCTATTGGATCCATGGTTAATTCATTTTGATAATTATATTCTAGTAAGTTGTACTTCTTATAATTCACTTTCCCATTGACTAATAATGATGTTATTTACCTACAAAGAGCATGAAACAATGATCGAACAGTGTTTGGAGTTGTGGGGTGATTACTGGATATTATCTGCACTCTTGTGGGGAGTTTAGCTACAAGCAAAACATCTGCTTTAAAAAGTATCAATCAGTTACGACCAGAACTGACCCTTTGTTGCCTGGACCTAGGAAACCGATCTCTGCGTCCTACTCTATACTTTTGTTTGAAACTCCTTTGAGAGACGAGCTCCAAAGCAGTAAATAAACGAATATTCGTCGTTAGATCTATGTGTGGCTCTATTCATCGACAATAAGAACATCGAAAATTCAAAATTACCTCAGTAATGCCGTTAGGTATTGCATTTCAGCTGGGTTTTTTAGTACAAAACAAGTACTGTAGAACAAAACTAGTTAACTGAAATTGAACTTTAAGAAGTAGAATATTCCCAATTAGATGGGATCAAAACTCTGTCCACAAGCGTCAAACACCAACAATTCCTCCAGACATTCCAAGATCAGAGTGACCTGGATTCAGTTACATCGTAAAACGACACGTTTTCAATGTACCACATAACCACAAAGAAAAGCACTAAAACTGGAGAATAAACAGAAATAAAGACAAGTGTGGATGAGGTCAACATGTGATATGCAAATATCAGAACAATGATATACAACAGTCTAGGAGGAGGAGGATGGATAATAATTACCAAGTTAATTGAAACATTGAAACAGGGATAAATATTGCGATTTGATCGTCTTGGAGGGACTTTCCAAACAAATATTCCGTTACACAATCCAGTTAATTTAACCTGATAAATTATATTTTATCTTAATTTGTTCGAGTAAGAAGGCTGCTCCACTTCCGCAACAGTACTTCCCAATTATGCTGGTTGTTCTCAGGATACATACTAATCGCTAACAGGTTAAGTATGACTTCTCTAGCCTGTATTTTGTCACACAGTAAGGGAATATCGTCCACATACTCAAAGTCGTTTGCTATTTCTTCAGGTAGGAGATATGCTACACCACACATATTCTTCTAAGTTGCCTGTAATATTCGATTAATGATAGAATTAGGGAGAAACCGTGAATCCGCGTAACTTTATGTAGCCCCATTGCTGGTTAAATGGAGTAGTAATGACTGGTGGTTATACACACTTACTCTCTCTGAGGTGCATAGATGACCAGCTTCTTAGGGTCTATTCTTTTTACTAGATACAAAAAGTATTGTTTTTCTTCCAACGAAAAAAAGGTAAACGTGAATATAATCATGAATGCAATCGCTTTCGACTTGCAATAAGTGAGTTATGGAGAAGGGGCAGACAATCAAAGTATTCAGAGGCTAGATGCAATCCTTTATACTTGCCGTAAATCAATTTCTCATGTGTTTTATAAAGTATGAACCATGATATTTGCTAATATATGTTATAAGATTTTTGTAAGCATGGAGATAGACCAAGCAATGTACCGTGATACGATATACTACTGATTCTTTGATATAAGTAGTTCGGAATCACTCATATACACCAGATCGAAGTTAACTGCACAGCCGAGATCATCAGCCGCGTACTCGGTTAGACTCTGTTTAGAAGGACAATTCAGTTCAAGCTATCTGAATCCGATGAATTTGATTCTATATGTTGCCAGGTCGCCCAAACAGTTAGACAGAATTCAGGTGGTTTTAATTGATTCGGTTCTCTAAGCTGAGTCAAACAGGGAACATGGCTAGTTAGGATTGTCTTCAAACAAGCGAAATAGCCATCTGGTGATGTTCGACTGCTCATATCCATCAACCAGTAGGATATAGCATCAATCTATTTGGCTTGCTTTATTGATTGTCATTAAATTTATCAATCAGTTTCCAAAGGGAGCTGTGGTGATTTCTCATCTCGAACTGTGTAGTATGCAACAATGGAGTTCAATTGATTCTTTACATCAACCGAATCGAAACCAAATTTGGTTTTAAAAGCAAGCAGTACCTAGACGGTCTCAAGTAAGACCACCGTAAGTCTGCTGTGCATCTCTTCGCCCTTAGAGCCAAATAAAACGTTGAGCACCAATAGCTATCATCGAGGTGCGACCGCACCAGTGACCTTGAGTGGATCAATGAATGTCTCCATGTGAGTTCAAGCTCTCATTCCCTTGTTGATTCAAGTGAAATGCTCTCTCCTGACGAAGTTACGTCTGAAATTCGGTGCAAGCCAAATTTTCCTGTATTACTTCGATATGGGATTGATTGGCAAGGAAAGAATTTGTTCCTGTGGATGTATTGTATGTAAAGAAAGCTATGATAAACCGTCTGATGAACACATTCACAGTTGTCAAACTTGGTTAAGACGAGATAGTGTGACGGAATATAAATGGATGGTTACACTATTCCTTAGAAACATTCTGTGCTAGATCCCTTTTGTCATCAACCCAGATCTATAATATACACAAATAAATAGAAGGGATATCACTAACTGTCATCCTGGAATTTATTCACCATAGAGTAAATCACACTAATGATTTTGTGGATTCCATTACAGGGATCCACACCTGTGGTACTGAGAGATTTTGAGGAATACTGGTGAACAGGATTAAAGCCACCAAGGGATCCCAAGAGGAGGTTATTTACAGCCATTCAGATGAATACATGTATATAATGCAGTTGAACATCTCTATTAATACTCCTGTGGGAAACTGGGAGTCACTTTTGCCACACGAAAGAAGTAGTTATCCTGTGTAACAGTTTTATACCTCTTTACATGTTATTATCATTATTATATAAAAAGCCCAATCATGTTATTGGTGGGCTCAAGGTCATTCGCTGATTGGTAGTGGTATTACGATTTGTATCTCTAATTTCTGGAAATTTCTGCAACATTGAATTAATTTTATATGTATTCTATGAAATTCATCTCCGTATAATAGCAATAATATTTTCATTCCTTTTCTTTTCTAGGCTTGTCAGAATACCAAAGAAGTAGCACCGGATATGATACTTTTATATTTAAATATATTGTACTATTTAGCACCATTTCTTCATGCTTGGCTACTGTTGTCAATAATTGTCAAGAATAAGACTGACAATTCCAATGAAGGTTTATGGACAGCTATGCAAAATTTAATTTCCGTCTATCATAATTCTGTTTCAGAATTTGAGCATCTATTAAAACAGAATTTTAACTCAAAAGGTTAGTCATAGTATATTTACTGCCTTCATATTTTTTGTTTTCCCTGTCATTTTTTTTTAACAAAACTGTCATATTTACTTTCTATTGCTAAGAGGTGCATCATTGCTGATAATTTCATCATCGAAGTGGCTGTATTCGGCGAATTCATTCTCTGCTTTATAGCTGTATAATCGGATTTTTATGCAGTGTTTTTCATAAAAGAGGGTAGTAAGAAAGGTGATGGATGAGTTGTCACAAACAAAATTGTTAATATTAGTCAGTGTATAAGAGGAGTTGAATGAGTGTATTAGAGTTACATAATGAGGTTAGTGGTTTTATGAATGAGTTGTGATCTGCATACTCATAGAAACGGATATAAAAATGGAATTAGAACATTACATGGAATTACTTAACAGTTGTAAGGAAATACAAGAGTTAGAAGGAGTTAGAAAACCAAAATCAAACCAACACAAATCAAGTCAGTCGAAATGGACAATAGTAATTTTATTTCGTATGCATTATGCTATTATTGTTTCCTTCGATTCCTAGAGTAACATACGGTTTCAGCCGCATTTCTCCATTGTGTTCGGTTCTCTCACAACTTTTCCACCTGGTTCCACGTCTGCCCACATGCTTTCATCTACTCTGCACATGACGTCATCCTTGTTACCTTTGGACGACCATCCCGCTCTTTCCCATTCAGGTTCCACTAGAGCAATGGCCTGTCGTGTGGTATCACTTGATGGTTTTCTCAGGGTACAGCCAATCCACCTCCATTTCTTCCTGCTTATTTGTTGCACAATCAGTTTCTACTGGGTTGGTTCTTTCATTGCAAGGGATCCCTATTGCTGATCTTTTCTGGCAGGTCATCTGATCTTGAGCGAAGACAGCTGTTGATGAAGGTCTGTAGTTTGTTCGAAGTGCCCTTCGGCCGCAGTGCCAAGTCTTTGATACGTTCACATTAGAGTTGAAAATCAGGATTTTATTTTCGATGCTGAGTGCTGTTAATCTCCACAAAAACGTGATTGTAATTAAAGCTCGCCTTGCTTTCCGATCCTTGCTTTGATATCTTCATCATTTCTGCTTTTGTAGTTGAGACGATGCTTCCCAGGTTGGTAGGTAGGTAAAGGAGGTTGTTTCTTTCGGATTTCTTCCATTTGTTCTGGCTGATTGTTGTTGTTGTTGATGTTGCTGTTTGCCAGGAATCTTCATCACCTCTGATTTCTCCATGTTCACCTGAATTCCTGCATATGCATACTGAACTCCACTTTCTCTATCTGTATGGCTTAATCTGCTCCAGTGCAAAGGAAACGAAAGCGTATTACCTTTGGCAGGTTGTTCTTCACTTTAATATATGTGTAAACCTTGGGCACTGTGGTAGTAGGTAATTCCATATTGGTTTGTTTTTTGGATGTATCACACAGTGCGAAACAGTATAATCTACTGGATGACTGTCGAACGGAAGTTATTGTTCATAATCATATAAGTTATAATTACATGACTTCGAAACTTCAGTTTTATAGTTTTCTTTTCAAAAACTGTAACTGGTAGATAACTACTCATATCAATCAATGAATCAGTAGTATATACGGCCACATAGTTATACTTACTTTCCCAATTTCTGCCTATTTCATGAAACATAACATATATTCTGTTCTGAATGTATTTTCTTCGTGGGAGGAAACCGTATTACCTTAAACTGTGTACTTTGCAAATTTGATTGTCTAAATTAACCGAATGTTCAAGAATGAAATTTCTAGAAGAACTGTCGTTTCACTTTATAAAGCTACTGTGAAATAATTTTGAGAGGTAAAGTTGCCATCTGCCATTCCTAGTCTTCTCTTTTTTCCCGGGCTTAGGACCAGCTAAATAAACTAGGGGAGAAAACGTTCATATGTTGGACTTATAAAAAAAAAACTCGAATGTCTCGATTTTATGGAATATTTATGTCACGTAAAGCCGAAGATTTACAACCAGAAACCAAGAGGTTGGCCGAAGAGATAGTGAAGATCGACTTTTAAGGGAATATAGACAAGTTAAAGGTGATGAAGATGTCTGACAAAAAAACCATAACAACAAATACTAATCAACATCAATTGGGTGGAAATCGGAAAGAATTCACTGCTTCCACTTCTCTGGGAAACATTACTTCAGCCACAAACGTTATGGAAGAGGATGTCAAAGCTATGAGCCAACCGGGTAATCAAGACTGACATTCACTGATCCGCTATCAATGTGCTTGTCCACAGCACTTAGATAAGACTTTTCAATATTATTGTGAAGTTAGTGCTCTTATAGGATTCCAGAGACTTAGATTTTGCTTCACTAGTAACATTTTCAGCGGACTGCTTTAGCTATGTGAATACTGAAAATCAAGGTGCTCGCCAGAAAGGACAAGCAATAAAAAAGTAGGACAGCAAAATAGCCAAAAATCTTACACTTAACACAAGTATACAGGGAAAAATGGAGATGAGTTGCACATATTATAGGGGGTGAGGGACGGTGTTAAGTTAAATCATTTGCTACACCATCAAGTGGAACGCGAAAGGAAATTGACGGGTTTGGTGTGCAAAGGAAAAGATCATTTGAGCAAGAAATGAAAGTTTATTGACATCCTTGAAGACTAGTTTAAACTGAATGTGGGGAAGCAAGTACAATGGTTATGTTCTGTGAAAGCCGTATTTTTCACTTCGAACCTAGGGCAATAATAATGATAATAATACACTGTCCGTTGACTAAATCCATACTCACCGACTCTAGTAAAATTTAGGGGACGCGTCAGCCGTAAGAATGTTTACAGTCACACCTCAGACTAGTAGGTGAAAGTTAACCTGTACAGAGTTTCTCGGTGCTTACTTCTTATATACTAGACTATGGACCATACATATTTTGTATGATAACAGATAATACTAGCCAGCTGTCTAGACTGAATTAATCAAAGTTAGGATTCGAACTGTGATCCTATTGACTGAAAGTTAAAAAAAATATGTTAGTTATAGACTGATTTTGTTATGTCTGTCCTGGCTATTGCAATCAACCTCCTTAACTGATTAGATACAAAACCAGTTCAACCGCTTATATACCTATTTTCTTACATTTAAACAATGCACCGTTTACGAAACTCATCGTCGCCTATATTATTCGTATCTGCCTCCTTTTTTTTAAACTACTGGGACATCATGCAACTCATCAGGCAAAGTAAAATGATGAAGTCTTTAGTTTCGTGATCATAAATCTACCCACCTCTTGCACGGTTGTTTTTTCTTATAATTCTGAGCTCCGGTCTCACATTATATAATTATGCGTACTGATAGTACTTTTCCCGTAATTTAAGAATTGCGTTCGAAGTGCATATAGAGTTGTAAGACAAGGCTACCCACAAATATCATCGATGATATTGTTAATTGTGGTGAACTGCATTATTCGTCAGACTGTGAGGAGCGAGAAGACAGAAATATGCTGAGCCACCGATAGTAAGACTCCAGAAGACCTGGATTTCGCGTGTGAATGACTTATGTTTAATGTCACACAAACTCAAAAACTTGCAGGCAAAAAGCAACAAACTGGCTGGAAATATGCAGGCAGCGAAGACCGGACTCCAACTGAACAATCAGCACCAATCACCATTAATTTGACAGACTTAACAGAGGATACCACCTTTACTCATCAGACTAGGAAGCATCGTTTTGACTAAAGGCCGATGGCACGGATGAAGATGTCAAGGTCACACAGAATCGGGAAGGAAAGATACTCACACCTTCATCAACATGAAACCAGTTTGGGAATCTTCTGTACTCCACCTCAGCATAAAGAATAAGATTCAGATTTTCAACTCAAATATGAAGTCTGTCAGTTCAGCTATATGGGTCAGAAACTTGCACTACGTGTCACGAAAAGGATTTCCAACAGCTTACAGACTTTTATGAACAGCTGATTTCCGTGGCTCCATACTGAAGATCGAATGGCTAGAAAGAATTAGCAACAAGAAACTCTGGCTGGAAACAAGCCAACTAGGCGCCAGTCGCTCAACAAATATGTAGGAGGGAATGGAGATTGATCGAGGAGTATACGTTGAGTCGAATGACATCACACGCAATGTAGGCTGTCTGTCGAGTGGAATCTAAATAGGAAGCGACGAGTGGGTCGTCAGTGCCAGGGTGACATGGAGGAGAACGTGTGAAGAGGAGATGAAAGATTACAGACAATCGTTGACCCAGCTGAAGAGGACGGGAGAAAATAGAAGAAACTGGAGATGTGTTGTTGAAGCCTTATGTTCCACTCGGGACCCAAGGGAATAATAATAAGAAAAATATGGAATAATCAGTCCTGTTCAACTGTTACAAACGTGTTAACACTTTCAAATGAACTGTAGTCAAGATTTGACAGAATAGTTCTATAATATTTGGGCGCCGAGTGAGAAGTAGACATTTGTAAAAAATTATATTTGTAAAATCTCAGCGATATTGAAATGAGTAATTCCAACGTTTCGTTCGGCAATCTGGTCCTCTGTTATGTTAATTTCGATTAATTTCCCTGAAGAAGTTCGGACCAGATTGCCGAACGAAACGTTGGAATTACTCATTTCAATATCGCTGAGATTTTACAAATATAATTTTTTACAAAGTGTTAACACTTTGCTTTGAGCACAACAAATAATCACAATAATGTTACTTCTACCTTACTTTCTGGTGAGGATGCTGTTTGAAATGAGATTATGCATTATAATTAGATTCACTTTAATCGGGATCACGTTAAATATGATGACTACCACTTTTTTTGAAATGTCCTCCTACTGTGTGAACATCCAATAGAGTTGGTTTGTAATTTAAACAATAACTAACTCTAATCATCTCTTTATTTTATCCATAGAGCCTGAATTAGTCAAACCATCATCCACATGTATATCAATTAATACGTCAATGATTCTTGGACAGGACAGTTGTAATTTATTAGAAGAAATGTTGAAATATGCATGTCAGTCAGATAAGGCAACAACTTTAACAACACCAACTCCAGCCATTTCACCAACACCGACATCATCAACAGTACACCAGTCTGTTGGCATAGAACAATCCTTTTATCAAAATCATACTTATTCAATAGATAAATGGATAGCCAGACAGTGGTTTGATAAACATTTAATATCAAAATTAATTATTTTATTAGAACAGTTACCATATTGTCGTGATAGTGGTCGTTGTTCTACAATGAAAGCGTTTCTTGATTTGGACTATGAAAACTGTTCTTTTGATGACGTAATCAAGGTAACTTTCAATGTGTTATATTGTAATTTAATTAATTATATCAAGTAAGATATTCTTAGGTGATGTGACTGGCTGCTTTAACCTTTCGACTTTTAACCAGTAGGTTCCAGGTTTGAGTTCTGCTCGATTTTTCTCAGCCACAGTGGTCGCCTCTGTTATCGGCTTTCATACAATACAATTTCAAAGGTCTCCTAAACCTACTACCATTCATAGCTCGTTCAGAAATACCAACAACAAACAGGGATAAAACTGCTAGTGATCAACAATCCTCCTCAAAAAGCAGGAGCTCTGAATGCCATTAAGCTGTTGAATACCATGAAGAAAACAGGACCAGACGCGATTCCCTTGGTAGCACTGAAGTTGGATCTAGAGATGTCAGTGGATATCCTCATGCCACTACTACAGAATGTTCGGGAGGAAAGAAACAAAGGTTACTTTGTCAAGCTACCGAAGAAATAGTAGTTGAGCCTTTGCAAACGCTAGCGCTGAGTCGTGCTTGCGAAACAAAATATTAAGTCACGTCATTCTGGAGAGACTGAAAGAGACTCTGGAAGCAAAACTCTGCCTGGAAGAAACTGGACTCAGGAGAAGCAAATCATGTGTGGATCAAGCTGTAATTCTACGCATCAACATATAACAGGCTATGCAGAGAATGGCAATCAAACCTCTACCTCAACTTGATTGACTCTGAAAAATACTTTGACAAAGTTGACCGTGAAGTAATTCGGAAATTGCTTCAGATTACCCAAACCTATATTAACCTATATGACAATTCAACATGTCAAGTGATTTAGACGAGAAAACTCACCGAAACATATGAAGTGAACACGGGAGTGAGTAAGACTACCTTTTATCGCCAATGATTTTCCTGATTGTGATGGACTGTAGGAACCGAGAATGCAGGAATGCGCCGAACAAATAGGAAGACTCAAAAAGATACAGACTTCGCGGATGATTTACTTCTAATGTAATACAGACTCAAAGATTTACAGGCGAAAACCATCAAACTGACTGAAGAGGTAGGCAGCAAAGACAAGACTTCAAGTGAACATACAGAAGACTGAGGTGATGAAGATATCCACCGAACAACTACAACAAGCACCAATCATTATCAACAGAATAATTTGGGAAGAGATCACTTCTTTCACTTATCGAGATATCACACCGTTTCAACTACAGAAACGCCGCATGGATGGCGATGTCAAAATTAACCAGAATCGAAAAAGCAAGGGAGACCTTCAGCAAACTAAAATCAGTTTGGAAATCTTCTGCACCCCGCAGCATATAGAACAACATTCGGATTTTCAACACCAATGTTGCATCAGTCACTGCTTCCGTATAGTTCAGGGACTTGACATATCACGGAGAGCATTTCCAACAAACTGCTGCAAATGTTTATCAACAGCTGATTAAGCTGGTTCTATCCTGAAGATAAGATAGCCTGCCAGGAAGGATTAGCCACAAAAAACTCTGGAAATGAATCAACCAAGAACCTGTCTCCCGGCAAACATGACGACGAAAATGGAGATGGATTAGACCCACACTAAGGAGATCGTTAGCTGATATCGTGCGCTAGGCCATCCCTCGAGTGGAACCTCCATGGGTTAATCAATGAAATAATATGTAGATTTTCATCCAAAGTACTCGATTTAAACTTCATCGGTACACAAGTGTTATTGTGGTGAAAGCTGTCTGCAAGCCAAAATTGTAGACAAAAATTCGCGTCAATGTCTAAGTCCCGAATCGGGGTCATGAGAAAAAAACACAACGAAAAAGCTTCACCTTGAGGGACTCACCGACCCATCACATCAGACTTGACGTGTTCAAATGTGATTCGAAGATATGTGGTTTACTTTTCTAAGAAACGATTACATGCAGTACAGAATAACCTTCAGCAAGCGAGCAACTAATCAGAAGAGGTTGCTTCTCCGCTAACAATAACGCTAATAATAATGTGCATAAAAATCTATAAATATCTCTTGATTTTCTCAATAAACGATCTGTTGCCAGGCCCTTATATTCTGTCGTTACATTGTTATACAGTAACATCTCCAGAGAAGAAATGATAACTTATTTGTTAATGGAAAAACCAGTGCAGAAGAATCACTTGAAAGGTGTTACAAATCAGGATAGAAATTTTATAGTCGATGGATAATAAAGAATGGAACTTCTGTCATACAAAATTGTTCTCATCATTTGCCATAGTAGTGAGTGAGGTTCGTGCGAAACTGATCCTCCTGTTAACATTCACTGTAACACATCCCACTAAACGTTTAAAAAAATTTTATTCTTTCACATTCCAAGTGAAACATAAGGCTTGCAGCTTTGTGCTTTGAAATTTCAGTAGCAGTGGTATTTTTCTTTTTTACGGAGTGTGTTTGCTAGCCTCACGCTTAGCCTCCTGCCTTCACAGCGGTTACTTCTGACTGAGGTTTAGGAGTGCCTCGATCGAAGATAGAACAGTGGCGGACGATGCGTGTGTTTGGTGGGCATTCTGCTCCTAAACCACTGACGCAAAGATTTTGATGGAAGTGGGATTCAACCCCAAGTCTTTTCGGACTGTGTTGTCTTAGACCACTTAGCATTATTATTATTATTTAAACGCAGAAAAAACAACTTGGTACAATATGGCACCAAGAAGGATGCGCCACACAATAATAATAATAATAAAACAACATAGATTCAAAGTAAAAATATGAGTAGAGAACGGATAGAGAACTTCATCTGGAAGGAAAACAGTCATGCTTAACAAGTTCAAACAGTATTCGTTAACTATCATCAGGAAGGGAGGAAAGAAGGAAATTGCAACACGTTCGCCATTGATTACGATTCTTGGCCATATTCGATGACGTTTCGAGCCATCGATTCAAGCTATCTCGCGGACCCCAGCAAGGGAGTCGTGACGCACCACCCGATGCTAATCTATCTCAAGAATCCTTCATCCCGCGACTCCACGTCATGGACTGACCACCCCTCCGTCTTTTCCATCCCGTCCCAAGGCTAGCGAACAGAGACCTGTACGGAAGTCTCTGGGATGACATTCGGAGCACATTTCCATGCCACCGGAGCCAGTGTTTTCAGATGACGATGACAATCAATGAATGTTGATCTCCGCTGTGTTCAAACACACACCCCCGAACCTCAGAATTACTCACGCGATGATTCCATCGAACGCAAGCAATCCTGCAGAGACAGCGGTGATCGAACTCGCAGAGTCGCCGAACATCCTCAGCTCGGAGAGGCCAGGTTTCACGAGCATAGAGCAAGACAGCCCACCCGCACCGAAGAATTGTATACCCGACCTTTGACAGCCAGGCTAACGTCGCGACGGCGCCATAGGTGGCTCAATTTGATGTATGCCCCCCTAGCCTTCATTATACGGTTGGAAATCTCATCCGTCACCCGTCCACCAGCACTCACACAACTATCCAGGTACACAAACTTATCAACAACTTCAAGCGGTTCACTCGCTAGAGTGAGTGCAGGTACAGGCTCCTGCCATTCTTGTAACAGCACTTTGCACTTACACGGAGTAAAGCACATACCATACTTACAGACACTGATCGCCAACTGATTAAGTGCGATTTGGGCAGCCTGCATGCTATCGCACAGTAAGACGATATCGTCTGCATACTCGGGGTCGAAAAGTCTATCTCCAGGCGGCAGATCCACACCACCTTCACGCACATCTTTCAGAGCTGACTCCAGAATGTCATCGATGGCAATTCCATCATCACCAACTCCACCACTAAACATTAATCAGCCAATACTAGTCTCGCTCTACTCATTTATTTTTCTGTAGTACTGACACGTTAACTACTGATTCATCTTGGTTTCTATTTTTCTGTTTTTTTTTTTCTACACTGCATTAGCAATTAATACTGCTCAGCGTAGATTTGTTTTTGTAATGTAATTTTTTTCTTATATATTTAAGTAAGAATCACCTGTTCTCACTTGTTCTGTCGTCTCTGTACAGTCAGCTTTGCACTGTACTAAAACAACACTTGATTGCATTTATCACTAGTAGCCTACGTATATGTGTATCGGTAATCAATGATTTTCTTATGTCAGAATCCGTAGTTTTCTTTTTTTTCCACTGGATAGTCTACAGTGGAAATCTTGTGGTCACAACCAGGGTTTTGCAATAAGATGAAATAGTGTACTTATGTGTCATTTTGTGTGTGTCGTTGGTCCAATGGTAGAACATTTGCCAACCACACAAGTGGTCCGGGGTTCGATGAGTAGTTGCATACCATTCGTATTAACCAGCAGTGTTTGCTAGGCAGATCGGGGTCAACTAAACACCGGACGGTCGTTTGATTAGTTTGGGTCCGGGGGGGGCGGGGGGAATTTCATCACTCGAACAGGGTAAATTGCAAATTGTGAGTTTTATTAATGGTCCGGGGTTCAATTCCTCGTCGACGCACTTCTTAGCCAGTTGTAAGTACCCTACAAAGGAAAGGTTGAGTGTGAGGCTACCAATCCTATCCCGTAAAACGTAAAACGAAACGTCACTGCTAGTAAAACTTCAAAGTTGAAACTTGATTTCCTCATTTTCCACGGGGAAGGCGAAAGAATAGAATTTTAGAAGATCACTTAAGTTACAACGAAAGTAAGAAGTTGATTATCGGTATCATTTTGAGTCTTTTTTATTTGATTCAAATCCTTTGTTAGAATTCAGAGTGGATAAAGTCTTCTTTAGATGAACGAGACAGATCAACGGTATTCAAATCGCTTTGAAGTGATTGAAAAATTCCCATTTTAGATATTTAGGAGACAAAAGGGTTGAGGAAAGAACTATTTACTTTTCAATTAGATCCTCATCTCTGACTCCACTCTATATATATATATGCTGTATTGACATTGACTTTATGCTCACTATCTATAAGGTGTGCTAAAATAGAGTTACGAGTAGATCTTGTTTGTCCCTTGCTTAACCATGCAGGATGATGTTCGGAAACACAATGATCAACCTGCCTAACTCTACGCTCCGCAATAGCAGTCAAACACTAAGGAGGGGAAATTAGGTAGTTTGACCTTATTTCGAAGTAGTTGTGAAGAGACAGTGGATCTCTGCTGCCATGAATGCTCTTCTGACTGCATTCTTCAAGTACTGTGTTACTATTTTGTTGATGTTCTCGCCAAAAAATTGAACCGATGTAGTCTTTTAAGCAGATTATCCTAGCTGGATGAACCAGACAGACTTTACGAAGTTGCATTTATATTCAAAAGGTAAAAACTCAAAATTGAGCATACTGATCTATCGTTTTAGGTGTTCTGTGTACACTCATTCTTAGGGCATCATCTTTCGTGGTCAGAAAGATGTCTGGGAACGAAACACTTCCATTCCTTTGTCTCTCAATGATTAAGTTTATCGCTGAATGCACATTATTGAACTTGTTGAGAATGTTCGTTGTTTCATTATCATTTGTCTTAGACAGAAATGTATCATTCCTATATGCACAGTAGAATTCCAAATCATTAATTACTCCTTTCGGTGATCCCTTCTCTAACTTAACAAAAGTGAAAATTAGCTAGAACTGGACCTAATGGTGAACCTGTGGTCACACCATCAGTTTCGCTATAGTATTCCTTGTTGAACAAGAAATGAACACTCATTGTATATCTTCAAAATAAGTTCCTTCATGGAGGATACAGAAATACCGATGTCTATATTTCGCGCCTAATAATCTCATCATATATAGAATTCACTGCTTCAACCAATGGTACACTTGTAAACAAGGAAGATGCATTAAAAGATATCATAAGTGTGTCATTCACATTTAAATCTGTTGTTCTTTCAACAAATTCAAAACTATCTTTTACACTATAGGTTTTTTTTTTCTAACTCCTTTTGCATAGTCTGTGAAAGCTTCACCAAGCAAATCAAATAATTTTATTCATCTTAAATGCTTTTCATCGTTTCCAATTGTACTTTTATCATAATTTGTTTTCTAGCATCAATATGATGAATACTTTGCATATCCGTGTATGGAATCATTACAGTCGAATAACTTTAAAGTGTGCTTTGCAATATGCCGATTTCTTGTTTCACTTGGTAGCGCCTTGAAATCAGATGCTGTAACCCATCTTATTGCACCACATTTTAAAGTCAAGTTAATGAAACCAACAGAACATGGAAGTAAGTTTCATATTTCTTAGGATTATGTAGTGTTAATACTTACAAATGAATATATATATTTAACAATAGCGTGCTATTTATTTGAATTTCATATTTTTCCAGATTTAGTCTGTGAGGGTTTGATTTGTTCCAAGTTTGATTAAGAGTTGAAATCAGTTAAAAAAAACCATTGAAAACCACCAGGGAGTCCTGGAAAGCTATTTTGTCCTAGTTTGGATATCATCCACAGTATGCACTCACCAGGGTTCAAACTCAGGTTCATTCAAGCACTGGGACGCGATCCAAAAGGCAGTCCATGAATTTTAACTTCCATCGAAATCAAATCTCTACAAACTAACTGCTGAAAATTAGTCTAATGCTCTCACTAGTAACTGGCTGAAAAACGAAGTTGACTAGAGTCCTAGTGAGAAGTCGTGACCAGCAGCAGGGTCTGTCTGCTTGAAAGTGAGGAGGTCAAGTACCCGCCACCGATGAAATTGGCTGGTGTCAGTTGCGCTGAAATCACACATTAGTCGAAGTCGGAATTCATGCGCTAATCATTGATTCAAATTCGAGTGGCTAAATGGTCTGAGATCTTGAGTTGTAACCGGAAGGTCGTGAGTTCAAAACTGTACTAGTCACAAACTAGGATGAGACACCTGCCCAGTACTTCCTCGTAGTTTTCAATAGTTTTCTAACTGATACCAAATTTTATAATTTGTTACACGAACTAACTTACTTACAAGTAGTTCATCATTTTCTTACCTAAATTATCAAGTTACACTGGTGAAGAATTGAGAGTTAAAAGATTTCATCTCTTATACTTTTGCCTGATTGCATGAGAAGTCTTCCCCTTCTGTTTTAGAGACAGCTAGTTTTTATTGACTCAGGAACTTCAAATGGCCTTTTTTCTTGGGCTAATTATGTGGAAACGTGTTCAGTTAAATTACGTCTTAAGTGTTTAGTTAGTTGTAAAAAGCAACTTCCTAAATGGAAGCTTGTTGTACTATGTTAGTTCATGACCACATAAGCACTAAATTACCTTCTTGGAACACATTTAACTTGACCTATTCAAGGCGTATTATACTAAGTTTATGTAAGTCAGTATGTTCGTATTATTATTGGTAAAATGGGCCGTCGATTAGCCGCACGTTCCGATCTCTATTTTACATCATTTAGGCTACGAAGGTGGATAGTATAACAAGACTTTATATGATTTATATCTCCCACATTCACCACATCGCTAAATGACATTGTCTACTATAGTTTACACTGATATTTAATGAATATAAACAGTTTAAGGATTCTCTATCGGTGAAACTGGTTGGTCGAATTATCTAAATTACAAATCTTATTATGGGAAAAATTACTGGAATTAAGGAGAACGCTCCTCAGGATATTAGATGGAAACCAGAATTTCTCTCTCTCTCACACACGTTTTTCATCCTTTTGCGTTCTGAGTGCAGCATTCGGTTAAAGCTTTTAAAGTTTCAGTGCCCTTTTTTTGTTTTTCTGTTTACGAGGTGGGGTTGCTAGTCTCACATCCAACCTTCCCTCTTATCCGAGCTTGCTACCATCTAAGCATTGAAAGTGGAAGACATGAAAAGGTTCGTTAGCTGTTTTTGATCTTAGGTGTCTGCGTTCTTTCTCCGATATTAGGTGGTATAATAGTTTAGTGAGCAATATTGAGGTGAGATCTCGGTCGAGCGCTAAGTAAGGAGAGGAAATCAGTAGACGAGACTGTTAAGTTACATCGACTGAGATGGTTAGGCCATGTCTTACGTATGCCTAGCCGTCACTTTTCTCGACAATGGGCAATTTTAGCTGACATCGGATGGATCAGGTTGGAAAAGAGCTAGTGGTGGTCAAACAAAAACATGGTTTCATCAGTCAATGGAATCCACAACAGTAAGTTTAAGCCAGCCTACCACGGAGGGTGATGTAGACTGCCTGGTTGGTTGGGGTCCTCGGAATGATAGGATCCAATGAAGGTGGAGACAATTGGTGATATGGCTCAAAATCGTCACCAATGGCGCAGATGCATCCACTCATTGTAACTTATAATATCCAATAAAACTATCTTGTTCTTCCATATTACTATTCTTTTTACCTCATATCTCTTGTTTACTGTTTCTGTTTTGCATTTCTCTTTACTCTCTTCTCTTGCTTTGTATGTTACATGGAGGGTGAGTAGCAACTCGAACTGCTGCACATATGTGCAAAGTTGTACGCTGAAATCAATCAGTTAGTCCACCGACTAAGCAGAATTATAGGAGTACATCGTTGTTGGGTGGGGGATCGAACCAGTATCACGTGCGTTGTGGAGAATATTCTACAACTGGATCAACGAAGTACAGAATGTTTGGCTCTCCTGTCTTGCTAAAACTTGAACGCGGGTTATTAGTTTCAGAGTCCTGAACGCTAACCGCTACATCATAAGGCAAAGAATCTCAGTGTTATGCGTTTTCCTAGAACTGTTATAAATATAATGTAATGGGGTATGTTTGTAGGAGCGAAATTTAAAGGACATTTATTTTTTTCTCAGCGTGATATGAAAATTTGTAAGTCAAAGTGAGGTGGCAAAGAGAATGAAACCACAAGTGATACGAATTAAGAAATGTGGTTATAGAGTGTGTTAAGTAATTTATCGAAAAAAAGTAGTTTTCTTGATATGCATCGAAACGCAAAGAAACGAGCTTTTATAACCAAACATGAGAACAAATGATTGAAAAACTAAGTCAAAGCAAGTGAAACTAGATCAATGATAGATACAGAAGTTAAACCAGCTTCTTTTGAGTTCCGGTATTTCAGGACATAGAACGTGGTATTCTGCTATGTTAAGAAGTTGGAAACATCACATTCTTACTTTGTAAATGATTGAGAATCATAAATCAGTTGAGTTAGCCGGTCATAGAACGTTTTGTTTTCTCTCTCAGGTTATTGGAAACAATCTCCCTATGAGTGAACCGATTAACAGTCGAACCTAATACCTATCGTTTTCATTAAGATACTGAGCCAGCCATAAGAACTACCTCTTATGTAACGAGTACCGATGGTTATTTTATTGAAATTCTCTTGTAATTTCTCATTGAATGCTTTTACTATTCTCAAATTCTCCGTCTCTGTTGATATATTGGCTCCGAGTGGTAACACTCCGATAATACCTTGAAGTTAAACAAGGTCTTACAGTCTAATTGGTGGATGGTGGCTAGCAGTGGAATCCAGGATGCGCATTTCGTCCTATTTGGGACTCGTCAGCTGGATGTACCTGCATTTCTCAGTAAGTGATGATGTTCCCACCGAGGCTCGAACCCATACTGGATACTGGGTTCGAGCCTCGGTGGGAACATCATCACTTACTGAGAAATGCAGGTACATCCAGCTGACGAGTCCCAAATAGGACGAAATGCGCATCCTGGATTCCACTGCTAGTCACCATCCACCAATTAAATACTAACTAAATGCCGAGACATCGTCGAAGCATCTGCACAAGAAGCCGACATGTCAACCTGAGACCGAGCACTTCGGTCCAATCAATCGACGGGAAAATCAAAAATTCAATTCAATAAGGTCTTACAGTCGTTGTTTGGTTTCCACATTTTCTTTTTTTTTACTGATCTTCATCCTTCTTTTAGATTACGAATATGATCATAATTCTATGCAAACGGGACTTTTGGCTGGCTATTGCTGTCTACTTGCGTCTACACAATCGGTATGTAATCATGGTAGCATATAATTTTAGTTTGATAATCCTGTTGCGTGTTTTTATTTCTTTTCCTCAAATGGAAATGAGTTGTTAGGGTAATTTTCTGTGTTCTAAAATTGGCCTTACTAGTAGGACTGGTTATTTCATTTTTGGAAAAGAGTTACATAAATGTATATATATATATATATACAATATATATATATATATATATATATATATTCCTTTCGTATCGACTGCCAATGAATTCATATGCACTTACCTTAGCTAGTATATAAGAAGGACTAAGAGGTCACCTATTGTCTGAATGGTGACATAGTGTTCACAAGTTCAATAACCATACAACCTGACCAACACGGGACATGTAGCCAGGTTTTCCAGATAATGAATATACGGTGAAAACTTTGGTTGTTTTTATTTTTGATTTTAATTACAGCTTGATTCCACTGTATTTTTGATACAAGTATGGAATTTTCAGCATGTGATATCGATAGACTAAATTTTGCAGGCCAACCATAGATATCAGGTGTGCGTTGACAGGGAATCGAACCTCGGACCATGTGCATGGTCCATTTTGGTTTCCATTATGCAGAAAATTTATTTTGATGAATTCCCACAGTGTTACACAGTAATATATCAGTAAATATTTAAAAAAAAATAGACAGTGTGGTTAACTTTGAACCATCCTGGTAAATGTCTTTATGTATTCTTCTTGTCAATCAAAATATTTACTTGATCTTGTTATTTTCACACACAGAGAGCTGATTTCACTTTTAAAACTTTCAATTTGCTTAGTTGTTTGCTGACGCAACTTACGCATTACAACTCTCTCTCTCTCCCTTCCTTCCTTTTAATTTTATAGCATAAAATGTTTAGAAATCCTGTAGTTATCTAATTTTTTTAATTTTAACTATCCTCTAATAATTTTTTCGGTTTCCTTAGTATTCTTATTATATTATTATTCCTTTGGATTCCGAGTGGAACGTAAGGCTTCAACAACACATCCCCAATTTGTCCTATCCTGTACGGTCCTCTTTAGCTGATCCCACGATTGCCCATTTGCTCTCATCTCTGCCTCACATGACCTCCTCTGTGTCACCCTTGGAACTGGACCCGTCTCGTCATTTTCCATTCGGGTTCCACTCGAGAGACGGCCTAGCGAGCGATATCATTCAACGGTTTCCTCAGTGTGTGCTCTGCCCATCTCTATTTTCTTCGGAATACTTGTTGAGCTATATGTTCTTGTCGCTGATTCTTTTTGGCTGGCCATCTAATCTTCAAAATGGAGCCAGCGAAGACAGCTGTTGATAACATTCTATCGAAGCCTGTTGGAAATGCTTTTTTCAACGCATTGGCCAAGTTTCTAGCCTATGTAGAAAAACTGAGTGACTTTACAATGGTGTTGTAAACCCGAATACTGTTCTTTATGCTGCGGAGTGTAGACGATTTTCAAACTGATTGCAGAATAATGAAGGTTTATCTTGCCTAAATGATCCTAACTGTTTGTGATACGGTCATCCGTTTGGGTTCCTTTAGTTGAAAGGATGCTGTCTAGTTAGTGAAATAAGTGACCTCGTTCAAATTTGTCCCTTTGATAGTAATTGTTGCTTGTTGTAGTTGGTCGGTAGGTATTTTGATCAACATTATTTTCTCTATGTTCACTTGAAGTCTTGTCTTTGCTACCTACCTTTTCAGTCAGTTTGTTGGTTTTTGCCTGTAAGTCTTCCAAGTTTGTATGACATTAAACATATATCATCCGCGAAGTCTATATCGTTTAGAATCTTCTTATTTGTTCAGCATATTCTCGCCTTCTCGATCCGCACGCATTGTGTTCTGTACAATCCAGACCACCACAATTAGGCATATCATTTGGTAATAGTAGCTGGCCTTGTCTTACTTATGTGTTGACTTCGAACTTTTCTCGTAGTTTTCTGCTTTGGACCACTTGACATGTTTTATTGTCATGTAGCTGTTGAATGCGGTTGTTAAAAATTTTTGGCGATTTATCGTATTACTAGTGCACGCAAATAGCTAGGCAGGATTCGCGTGGTTTGAACTCACTTGGCTGTCTAACCTGAATTAAACTGGCTACACGGATGATCAGGTCGACTTTGAACGATCGAAACGACCATCATCTGGTGTTTAGATCACTTACTACTTGCTAGGTGTAAATGATATGCAACTACTTATCTAAGTCAATCAATCTACTTCTACTGATTATTGATTGATTCTTACCTGTATACACTGCAGACTGGGTTGTCTTCAGTGTTGGTGACTGACTCTTCTTTCTGTTCATCCCCCCCCCCTCAAAAAAAAAAAGAAATAATTGTTCACTTATAATTTCATGTGAATAAACTGTCTTCTAATTTCATATAATTTTCTTTTTTTTTTAGAAATCAGAATTGGGTCAAGTGAGAATGTTATTAACCAGTGCTATATTCTTACATGCACGTGAAGGCTTTCCACTTCATTGTATAACTTTGACAATTTGGTGTCTTTGGTAAGCTCAATTAAGTAGTTAATCAATTTTATTGATAGATTTGTGCTTATTTCATTAACTTATTCGTAGATTTTGTCACGTGTTGAGAGAACCATTGAAACCAAGGAGCAGTGAATGCCTGTTTTGTCGTAGTCTGAGGCTTTTCAGCAGTAAGCCTTACCTTTTAAAAGTTCGAGGTTGGAACCATGGTGAGATCATGTAGAGAGAGAAAGAAAGAGAGAGAGAGCGAGAATTCCGATCCAAGGGGAAACACCGACTAGGTTTTCTCTGGTTTCCAGTGATTCTGTGATTGTTGTTTGCTCATAACTCTGTTCACCTTGGTATTACCTTTTACTGTGAAGTTCTTCAATTATATTAGTGGTATTTCCCTTCCTGTAATTATAAAGACGGGGGTTATGAAAATAACCAACCAACCAACCAACAACAACATCAGCAGCAACATCCAGCGCCAATCACCATCAACGGGAGGGATTTGAGAGAGGTTGCTTCATTCACCTATCTAGGAAGCATTGTATCAACTAAAGGAGGAACGGACGAGGATGTCAAATCAAGCGAGAATCAAGAAGGCGAGAAACAGATTCACTCATCAACCTGAAACCAATCTGGAAATCTTCGTCGCTCAGCATCAACAACAAAATTCGCACGGATTTTCAATACAAACGTCAAGTCTGTCAATCCTTATATACGGATCAGAAACTTGGCGGGCGGGTCACAAAGAATATTTCCAACAGCCTGTTGCAGACCTTTATCAACCAACAACTGTCTTCGCTGGATCTATACTGAAGATCAGATGGCCGAGTCGCGCCGGAAAGAATCACCTACAAGAAACTATGGGAGCAAACAAAACAATAACCATTCGCCCAACAAATATGCAGGAGAAAGTGGAGATGGATTGGACACTCGCTAAGGAGGCCGCTGGGTGACATCGCGCGCGCGTCAGGTTATTGCTCGAGTGGGACGTTAGTGCAAGGGTGACATGGAGGAAATCGTGTGTGTGAAGAGAAGTTGAAAGAGTATTGACTAACATGGATGCAGGTTAAAAGTACAGCAGAAGACAAAAGAAAGTTGAGACGTGCAGTTGAAGCCCTATGTTCCTCTAGGAACCCACGGGAACAATAATAATAAAATTATCAATTAGACTTCAACAAAAGTTTTGACGTCATGCAGCTTTAGGAATCTCTTTTATACTTATCGAAGACGAAATCCTCTCACATTGTTAAAATCAAATGCTAATCAGTGTAGTTGTCAGGTATTAATTGTTATTTCGAAATCTCAACTGAATTTATGACGTGATCTTTATACTTTAATGTTAGTATTCTCCGTCTTTAAAATGTCATTAGTAAGTAGGTTGTGTTAAACTTCAGCCTTACGCTTGGTGATACTCACTAGCTGTATGTGCCCGCCAGTTCATCGGTGGCACAGTGGTTAGGACCATGCTCATGGTCCAAGGCTCGATTCCCTGCCGACGTACACCTGATATCTATGATCGGCCTGCAAAATTTGGGCTACCGATATCCATGCTGCAAATTCCCTACTTGTACCAAAAATACAGTGTGGAATCAAGCTGTAATCAAAAATAAAAATTAAAAAAATAAATAAGAAATCACATAAACACTGCGGAAAACGAGAGAGATGACACTGGTCTTTCCCTCGAAATGCTATTATGTCGTTAAGGTGAATCTTATTTTCAAGAGTTAGTTTGTAGGTATTTGATTGTTTACAAGTTTGACCACGGACTGATACCATTCAAACCAAAGAGAGTACTTACTATACAGTTGTTTCGTCCCAGTTTGTGACTCATCGACAGTACACACACTACAGGGATTCGAAGCCATGACCTTCCGGTTACAAATCAAGCCCTCAGACACCATTCAGCCACTCGAATCTGACTCAATGACCAGCCCATGAAGTCTACTACTAGTCAAAGTCTAACTTCGACTAATGTGTGATTTCAGCGCGACTGACACTAACCAATGTCATCGGTAGCCAGAATTTAACCTCAGTTTCAACCAGACGGATTCTGCTGGTTACGACTTCTCACTAGGACTCCAGTCAACTTCATCCATCAGACATTCATTAGTGAGCATCAGATTAATTTTCAGCAGTTAGTTTGTAGAGATTTGATTTGTTTCAAGTTCGACCACAGATTAAAATCAGCTAAAGAACCACTGAATACCAGGGAGTATTTGATATCTGCTTCGTCTTATTTTGGGAATAACTGGGAGTACGACCACGTGGTGGGAGTCATTTTTTAGAAATGAAAAGGCCAATAAGAGTCTGGTTTGCCTATTACCAGGCCGATGGATATTTAAGGCACCCAGAACCAGTGTTTTCTATAGCTGGTCACTAAATACTAGCTGATTACAGGTTACATGATTGAAGGCATTTTTTAAACCTTTGTGCTCATCACAATCTATCTTTATCTATCACCCTTGTTTCACCTCATATTATATGTGTGTAGTTCAAACCAGAACTCAGATACGAACTACATAGATACATAAAAGGCTGTTGTTCTTTCTAGAGAACTTAGATGTAACATACTTCAGTTTGTACCCGATTTCTTTCGCGTCCCGATTTTTCTCATAAACTTTGAAATATACAAAGTGACGATAGTAAACTGGTTATACCTACTACTGCTTATTCTCACTGAGGTTATAACTTTCGACGGGGTGTGTTTGGAAAAGACTCTGAACTGTCTTGAATAGATGATTTCATCTTAACACGTATCCACTGGACTAGGAAAGTCTAGACGTATTCAGTGTCGTTGGCACAGCGGTGGAATGTTCGCCGACCACGCAAATGGTCCGGTGATCGATCCTCGGTCGACGCACTCCTTCACCTTGGTAAGCCAGTAATAACACTGATAAAGATGGAAGTTTGGGCATGAGGCTAGCAACTCCGTCCCGTAAAAATAAATACCACCGCTACTGAAACTTTAGACCTCTAGCTTGAAGCCCTATATTTCACTAGGAACGTAAGGAAATAGAAATAAAAAAAATAAAAGCATGCGTATTTAGCTGAGAGTATAGGGTCGTAGTAAGTGGAATGATTATATTGAATTAGTCGTTTACGGTGTATCATGCCTCCCCCACCCAGTCTGCGGGCTGCAACGTTCATGTGGCTCAGTGTCATTAAACGCAATAGAATGTGTACCAGTAACGAAAGGCATGACCACCGTACTTATTCTACTTATTCTACTGAATTCGAATAATATTTGATTAATAAGCTTATCTGTCTGTCTTTTTATATCTACTCTTGCTTTATCATTTATCTTTCTTCATATTGCTGTTGAATGTATTGTGTGACTTATCTCAAGATGTGTTTCCAAGGTTACAGAAAGACTTGTGCTTTCTTGAATTTATCAACATTTCTTCCGTGTCAGTTTAAGAGTTACATCCTCTTTGGTTGAAGTTGCGAACTGATCTGTTCAAAGGTCAAGAAAATAACTTCGGTTAGAAGATTTCCCCACTGTTTCTAACACAATTTACGGAATAGATACTCTTTTTTTTGTATTTGTACCTTCGTCTAACTTTTTATAAATTGTTATAACATATATATATATATATAATTTTTAAATCAATGAATGTGAACAGAATAGGAACAGTAGTAATAATAATCGTGATGGTTACAATTGTTTACATCTAACTAATTCTTATTATCATTTAATGTAAACTAAATTTTGGACAGTGTTCAACTCATTGATTTTTTGTTGTTGTTGTTGTTTTGTTTTTATTTTTTCGTTGTTTTCTCATTCTACTAGTCTAACTACTAACTTAGAGACAATCATCCAGGATATTCTACTTCCAGCAATTCGACCGTGTTTAAGCTGTGCTGATAGTTCAGTTCGTCGAGCTGTTGTAAGCCTGCTGCACGCATTCATTGAAATTATACGATTTATCAGTGGATGGCATAACACTGCAATAACAACAACGACAGCAACAACAACTACTACTAATACTGGTAATAGTAGTATCGGCGCTACTACTGCCATTAGTAGTAGTGGTTGTAGTCCACTTCTACACAATGATATTTATCAATGCCATTTACTAGAATTAATTTGGCCATTTGTCAGTCAAATAACCAGAGATGATGTGACGGGACAACGGAAACGAATTACACCAGATCAAGCAGATTGGAGTGTACTGTGTTGTTCACTAGGCCCATTGTACGCTTTTATTATGCTTGTCTGTGTACCATTTTTAAATTCAACGCATTTATCTTCTACATCAGCAACAGCGACAGCAACCACAACAACAACAATAACAACTAATACTAATGCTACTATTGTTGATACAATTGGAAGTTGTAAAACAGACAACAATATTTCAACTGGTATGGAGAATGTTCCTTTAGTTTTGACAACAGATGCGCCAAAGCAAACACTGTTAAGTGAATATGCTAGTTATCGGACTATGGTAAGCCGTTTACGTGTTGTACTACGTTTCATATTCACATTTCAATTCATATCTCAACAAAAGGGGAACGTCATACTCAATGACTGATTTTAACATGGAAGTTTTCCAGTTGCCACACTTCATGTACTACACAGTGAAAGATAAAAGATAGTAAACGAGGTATTCGAAACAACGATAACAACCAGAAGTGTGATCAAGAAAGGATAGTACGTAACATGGAAAAACAGTAGGGTTTTATTGGATAGAGCAGATCATAAAGTATGAATGCATCTGCGTCACTGATAATGATTTTGAGCTGTATCACCAGTTGTCTTCAGTTAGTGGTTCTTAGCATCTCGAGGACCTCATTCAATCAGGCAGTCTACACCTGCCTAATTGGCTGGCTGGCTTATACCAACGGTTAAAGATTTCATGGAGTCATCCCATGCCTCCGTTTGATCAGTACTAACTCTTTTCCAACCCGTCAGCTAACATTGCCCATTGTCGAGAAAGCCGATGGATGACTAGTCATGTCTATTATATGTCCTAGCCATCTCAATCGATTGACTTTCCCTCATTATCTAAGACTCGACGCCTAGCCTCAATATCACTCCGTGGCATAGCGGTTAGGACGCTCGCCGACCATGCACATGGTCCGGGGTTCGATCCCCTATCGACGAACTCCTTTACCTCGCTAAGCCAGTAATAATACTGGCAAAGAGGGAAAGTTGGGCATGGAGCTAGCAACTCCATCCAGTAAAAATAAAACACTGCTACAGAAACTTCAAGCCAATAGCTTGTAGCCCTATGTTCCACTGAGGAACGTGAAGGAAAACAAAATATCATACCACCTAAGATGGGATACAGAAAGCAGACACCTATGATCAAAGACAGCTAACCCACCTTTTCATGTCTTCCACTTTCAATTGGCTGTGTTTCGCCTCCCGCCATAAGGGAGGACAGAGTAAACTACTGAGAAGTACATACATTCTCTGATCGATAGCTAGCCGGACATCACGTCTACACCTTAACCTTCCTTAGGAGTGCAGAGATTTTGTCAGAGAACAACCCGTTGGAGCTGGCCTATGTAACTTCCCAAATAAGGGAGGTGTTTAACACATTCTACGACTTTATTCCCTATTTTTCAGGTAGGATTCGATGTAGTTCAGTCTTGTAACATCATCTTACATTTGATAGGACCAAATCGTATGTCAGTTTCTGGCTCAATACCTCACCACATCATGAATATGCGCTTTCAAATAGTTATATACTGAAAAAAACAGCTCTTCGGGTCTCTTCACCTTTTTTCAGTTGATACCGGTTCATAAAAGGAATCCTGATTGGTATTGAATTATAGATCAGCTTATAACTAACAAATTCCACTTTTTTTTATCTTTTTCTGTTCAAGGCGTTCGATTTACTCAGTTTACAGTATGATTTAGTTATTGGTCGAGCGACAACACCGTCGAATGAACTGAACGCGAGAATAGATTATACTATGGATCGATTAATAATTTCTCAACATCGTTTTTGGAGTACACTAGTGCATAATCTTTTAGAATTAACTAATCGTCTATTGCCAACATGTGATGAGAATTTCCAACAGAATAGTAAGTGTTATCTATGATAATTGTTCATCACAATGTTCTTATACAGCTTGACTCTTTTTTTCGAGGGAGAGGGAGAGAGAGACAGAGTCGGTGGTGTCACTGATTCTTTATTGGGGTCTTGTGTCAAGGAAGAGATTGTTACAGCCGACTACTCTATCGCGTCTTCCATGATTCAAAGGGTAGACTCTTTTTTACAACTTGTGCCACCCGGCTACTGAACAAAGGACGTGTGTACCGCGCCGCTGTCTCCTCCTCCCTTCTTTACAGTAGTGATACACGGCAGTTTGACGGTGAATGACTTGACAAGGCTAATGGCATCTGACCACACATGCATATGTTCTAGGTATCCTGTTAGGTGGTTAGTAGTAATGAGGTTAGCCCTAGAATGTCAGATAAGAAGCGTAAATCAAATGATGAGGCTATGAAATTTCACCATTTGAGATAGATATGACATATATTGCTCATGCCCACCCAATGTCAGCTGACATAGAACAGGATGGGAAGAGAGTTATGTGTGGTGGTGAAATGGCTCAGAATCGTTGTCAATAGAGGAGATGCATTTACTCTTTTTGATCTCCGGCATGGAATAAACTTTCACTACACTCTATATAGCTATTCTTTCTCCCACACTTAAGAATAATAATAATAATAGATTTCTTCTGGAAAATGCATTTATACTCAATACAGAATTTTTAGAAAGCTTGTTAATACAAGGTATTTACAGAATTTTCAAGTAATATTGTAACAACAGAAGACGAGAGCCAGGCGACAGATTGTTTATTAAGGAAATCAACACATATTTATATATTTCCATGTACTTTATTATAGATTATTTAAGCAAACAAACACAGTCCTCTGATTGATTGTTTCTCACATAAAGTTAACCTTGCATCTCTTTGTGGCTGTTTCTTGAATGTCAGATCATCTATATGTTAACTGTATCCGCCTATGCAAAGCCTCTGTTCTCATTTTTCTCACGACCAATATTGGGGACATAAACATTGACGTGAATTACTGTCTACCAACTTTGGCTAGCAGCCAGCTCTCACCACAATATAATAAACGTTCGATCCCCGGCCGACTCACTCCTTCACCTCGATAAGCCAGTAATAAGACTGGTAAGGAAGGAAGGTTGGGCATGAAGCTAGCAACCTCATTCTATAAAAATAAACACCATTACTACCGAAACTCCAAAGCTCTAGCTTGAAGCCCTATGTTCCACTAGGAACGTAAAGGAATTTTTAAAAATAATAATAAACGACAATATATCAGCTAAAATGATTTTGTTTTATCTGAGTTATGCTCCAAAAATCCAAAGTGTTTCTCCTCCATTTACTTTAGACTTAAAAATACGCCAAAGTATACATTGCGATTCTTAAAAATACATATATGACTAAAACAACAGCATAGATAGAGCGAAAATTTAGGTCACCCAGTGATTTAAGCAGGTCACTGGTTCGTATATCTGAACATAAACAAACTGAGAGCTCGTTATGGGTCACTGGCAGTCCACTCATTTTTATACTAATATATGTACCAAATATGTGAGGATAGAAATTGATTCGGGGATTTGATTATTACTCATTTCCATGTTTTTAATCCTATACAACTTTTTTTAACTACTTAGTTTCTTCAAAGTTTATTTATTAGTGATCTTTATGATGGTACAGAAGACTTCAGTCTCAAGTGAACGCCCTGATGTTGTGTTTTGTTTTCTGAGCTCGATCTTTGACTGTTCTTCTGGACAGTAGAACACCTTCAGTGAGAAAGTCACTAACTATGTTTTTTGTTAATTTTACCGGTAGCATGCATTTTACTGGGAATATGGATTTTAAGCGTTGAATTCAACCAATGCATGTTCTGACCTTTAATCAAACCATGCAGTGGAATAGGATGAAAGTTCTAAAATTCGATATAGGTAGGTGTACAGAGAGAGAGAGAGACAGAGGCTGATTACCACCCAATCTTTGTTTTGTCGGATCGACATCCAATACATGTAATTGAAGTGAGTAAACGTTCGTTGCAGATATTTGGAAAATTCTTCTACTAATATAATTAAAGAAGGAGAATGCCTTTGGGTAAATATAGAAATTCAATTTGAGAAATTGTGTTATACGATTATCTGAGCAATGAACTATGCTTAAAATGATGTAAAGTAAATAATACTTTATCACTGTGCGCCGTATGTCATGAATAGGGTAACATATAATTAGGCTCTGATTCAATGCCGACGTTTTGGTTGGAGGAAGTGACCTTGTTCAGATTTACTCCTTTGAGAGTGATTGGTGCTTGTTTGCTGTCAGTTGGTTATCTTCATCACCTTTGTTTTCTGTGTGTTCACTTGGAATCTTTCCTATACTGTCTGCCTCTTCCGCCAATTTGTTGCTTTTCGCCTGTAAATCTTCAAATTTATGTAACATAAGATATAAATCGTCTGTAAAGTCAAGGTATTCTAGTGTCTTCTTATCACTCCAACGTATGCCTGTCTTCTCGATCTCCACTCACAATGTTCCGTATAATCCAATCCACCACAATTAGCAGTATCGTCTGTGATAGTAGACAGCCTTATTCTACTCCTGCATTTAACTGCATACGCTTCATTGATTTTTCCTTTAAGGACAACGTGACACTTTACATTGTTACACAGCTACTGAATGAGCTACACTCATTGAGTATGTGAAAGCTGAAGCAGGTGATGAAGCATAATCATATCAAGGTAATCTACTCCAAAAATATGGTGGAGATATGTGGATGACACTTTCACAGTGTTAAAAACAGAACACATCTCTAGCTTCTACACACATATGAACTCACTAGTGCAGGGAATAAAATTCACATTTGAATCAGAAGATGAACAAGGAAAATTAGCTATGTTAGATTGTAAAATAAAACGAATAGAAGAAGGTAAACTGCACACTAGTGTGTACAGAAAACCAACTCATTCTAATAGATATTTAGACTTTAATTCATCCCATCCGTTAACTGTGAAGGCAGGCTTGGTTAAATGTTTAACAAACCGAGCAGTGGCACTAAGTAGCACAAAAAAAGATCTAAATGATGAATTAACACAGATAGAAGAAGCGTTGGTGTTGAATAACTATCCTATAAAATTCATTAGGAAGATCATTAAAGGCCAAAAACAAAATAAAAATAATTGTGAAACTAGTAATAATAACATAAATAAGAAAGAATATAAGTCATCCACAGTTATACCATATAAAGAGGGGACATCTGAGACACTACGTAGGATTCTGAATAAAATAGGAATTAGGGTGGCATTTAAACCTACAAACTCACTCAGCTCGGACAAGCTCTGTAGGTTAAAGGACCCAGTTGACCCAATTAGACAAAATAATATTATTTACAAAATACCATGCAATGACTGCGAGGTCAACTACATAGGTCAAACTAGTAGGTCAGGGGTAATCAGATTGTCAGAGCATAAGAATTTAGCTAAGGTAAGAATGGTTGACCCCGAGAAGATAAGTAATTTAGAAAAAAGCACTCAGCAATTGCAATGCATGCGCTAACACACAACCACACAATAGGGTGGAAGAGGGTTAAAATTCTAAAGAGTAATCTAGGTAGGTGGAGAGAGAGGTTGATTACTGAATCCTTGTTCATCGAGTCTACACCCAACACATGCAATAGGAATGACTCGTCACTCATACCTGAAATATGGAAAATACTATTGCCAATCAAATCAAGTGAAAATCAAGAGAAAAACAATGGAACTATATAAATGAATTTAGGAAGTCGTGTGATTACCTTGATATGATTATGAGCTGTAATAAATTGTTCTCGAAACGTGGTCATCAGTAAACATTACTGTATAACACTGTGAGACTTTATCAACACAAAATTTACCCATAATAGAATTACACTCTACCACAGTGCACAAGTTTTATTCTTATATCAGGTGATGAAGCAGACTTAGAACTAGTAAACCATTGGCTGAAAGATGAATGCTTAAGTCCGTCACATCGTCACCTCACTCTGTTCGCTCAAAAGTAAGTCTGCATAAATGTACCATAAAAGTTATGAATTGCTTCAAGATTATAGGCATCATTTATCAAATGGTGTTATTATTCTCACATAAGCATATGAAGCTTAAGTAGAGTAAATCCTCCTGCCAATCACCTTCAACGCATTTATCTAATGTCCTATTGCGCTTTTTGAAAAATTCACTTTATTTTTATTTGCTCACAAAAAAAAGAATATTAATACTGGACAGCTGTTTCATCCTAGTTTGGGAATCGTCGGGAGTACGCACCCGCTGGGTTTGGAACGCATGACCTTCCGGTTACAAGGCGAGCTCGTATACCGTTCGGCCACTGGGACCAGATTCAATGACCCGTGAATTCTAACTTCTAGCAATTCGTGATACAGCGTGACCATCGACCAATGTCACATCGGTGGGACATCCATCCTCACACTTGACTGGATGGACCTCACTGTTCACGATTTCTCACTAGAACTAACTCCAGGAAACTCCATCTTGTAGCAAGTCACTAGCGTGTACCAGACTAATTTTCAAGAGTTGGTTTGTAAGCTTTAGGAGTTTGACTACGGATTGATATCAGTTAGAAAACCATTGGTAGCCAGGGAGTACTGGACAGCTGTTTTGCCTTGTAACCGAAAGATCTTGGGTCCGAACCCCAGTGGGGGTGCCTACTGCCGGGGATTCTTAAACTACGATGAGATAGCTGTCCAGTACTCTCTGGTTTTTAATGGTTCTCTAACTGATATCAATCCATGGTCAAACTCTTAAAAACAAATCTAATCTTGACAAACCAGCTCTTGAAAATATAAAATACTGTCAAATTTGAATTAATAAAGTCTTCCTATCAATGTTAGCCATAAGATATTCGATTAGTCTAGTTATTGAGAAAAACAAAAGTGTATATACACCTATCCTTCTCCTTTTTTTTGTTGTGTCTCTCTCACTTTCGTTTATTTTGCTTTTATTTTTCGCTTTTTCTTTACAGACATATTACCATGGTTGTTTAATTTAGCTGAGATGAATAATGCCCTACCAAATTTAGATCAACGTACGGAATTAGCCAACCACTTGTTTACGGTGTTTTCAACAGCTGCATACTGTATCCTTTTTTGTTTACATTGCTTTATATAATAAATGGTTAGTTTAAAATCTCAGGTGAATAAATGATATGTATGTATGTGTGTGTTGATCACTTCACGCATTTGTGTAGCTTCATCGACCCCAATGGGCTAGTCACTAACGAAATTTCACCATAGATACAAAAAGCTCGTATGGAATTTCCAAACCTAATCTCATTCTTTGCCGTATATGTGATACCTGGCTGGACGTGTGTATAGCACATCACTTCATTCCATCTTCACTTATGGCTGTTAGACATAACTATTGAAAGTGAAAGACATGAAAAGGTTGATTACCTGTCTTTGGCCATAGGTATCTGTGTTCCATCTTCTATGTTAAGTGGTATAATACGGTGATTAATATTGAGGCTAGGCGTTGAGGGCTGCTAGGATATGAGTCAAGCATGACTAGCCATCGACGTCTTCGACGGGCAGTGTTAGCTGACATCGGATATATAAGGTTCGAAAAGAGCTAGTACTGATCAAACGAAGACGTGGGATGACTCCATGAAATCTCTAACCGTTAGTTTGAGCCAGCCAGGTAGGAAGGTGTAGACTGCCTGATTGTTTCGGATCCTCGGGGTTGTGAGAACCAGTGACTTGAGACCATCGGTGATGTGGTTCAAAATCTTCTTCACTGATGCACATGCCTTCTCTCTTCACTATCTACAATACTGATTAAAACCCTATTGTTTTTCTCATTCTACTACTATCTTTTCTCCCTCACATTTCTGGTTATTATCTCTTTATGTGTGGTACATGGAGTGTGGCAACCGAAACTGTTGCACTTCTGTAGAAAGTTCTATGTTAAAACTTGCCAGTCAATAGAAATCTAGTTAGCCGGTTACTCCACTCAAATTAATAGTGTTACTTCATGGATTGGTATTACATTTGGTGTAGTTGTCATCTCTACACTGATTTTATTGCAAATGATGCTATTAGCTCTTAGCAATGTCGGAACAATCAAGAATCTCCGGAAACAGTTAATATCACGGCCAAAATCAACAAGAAAGGTGCGGCGTTTATCCTGAAGTAATCAGTGAAGTTGACAACAGCTTCGCAGTTAAACCATTAGCTCATTGCAAGAGCACCGAAATAACAACATTGTGTAGTCTGGTGTCTGAACTATGTTCTAATTGTCTCAGTGAATGGAGATACACAACATTAGTAACCCACATACCACTTTCACGTAGACTGTCAGATTATAAGGCCAGCATGTTATTACTCAGCTAATGAGTTGTAATCCAGTGACCTTTTTTGTCCCAATTGAATTGAGGCAATTAGATCATTAAGAAGTGTACAAGAGAGTGAAAGGTGAAGAGAGAAATGCGTAACAAGCAGCCTTAAATGGCCTCCTAGTAAATACGTTCCTACTTGATATCTCATTGGCTAGACGTCCTTTTATAGGTCAGACATCTATAGTAATAGGTCACATTCTTAGTCATGTGTGGTGTGGTTGATGCGTTGACCTTTTTTAGTCACTCTAAGACAATTAACTTTATAATAATTGAAGCATTTCAAATAGGTTATTTCGAATATAATCATATTTGTTATCATACCTTAATTATATGCATTACTATGACACTATGAACTACAAATCGATTATTATTTAAGCTGTACAAAATGAATCCAGTGTACTGCAGTGGTTAGTTCCTGGCTTAGATCGTATACGCTTAGATTTTATAGAAAGTGGAGACAATCGTCGTGTTCGTGAAGTGGAACAATTTCTGTCTGATTTATACTCAAAACTTCGATTAAATGATCAAGGACGGTCATGGTAAGTTGTTCATCATTATAATCATACTATTTACTATGGACTGATTAGATTATCGAAGTATTTTCCGGCATGAATCAACACTCACTAAGGAATCATTGGTCGAGACACTTGACTTCCAACCTCTGGATCATGGTTTTGAATCCTACTATATCTAACGAGGCTTACTCAACTATTTGGTGTCATTAGCCCTTACACAACAGGTTTGACCTAATGCCAGCTGCAATGGAATCGCGAGTACTTGTTGAATAACATTTTCTTCCAGAGAACCATTGAGAAACAGACTTCACTAGACACGTGTTCTGTCTTACTTATAGTCCGTTCGCCTTGTTTTTGATGAATCATTCCTACTGCACGTATTGAGTGAAGAGTCAATGAACAAAGATTCAGTAATCAACGTCTCTCTCTCCCTCCACTTACCTACGAATTTGTTCGCCTTTGTTCAGTGCCTACTCTTTCGGCCTGATACAATGGTACTTTCTGATATTTTTATTTGTTTTGCATTTGTAGCTTCTGTTTACACCCTTTGAATCAGTTGTCCAGGTTTCATTGTCAAACTAGGCTAATAATTTCTCCCTTTCATCTATAAAAGTGTGGTGTATTCAATATTTATCTCGTTGTGAAACAATTTCTTTTCACTTTCGCTTCATAGGCTCATCATGGTCATAGTCTTCAAAAGTTTTGGATATTGACTTAGTTATTGGTTAGTGTATAGTGAACTTTCAAACCTTGCTATTTGCAACTAAATTATCTCAATTGTACTTCACTATAGCACAGATGAAAATTGTTCAGTGTGGAGTTTAAGTGTTCACTACTTGTAATCTTTATGATTTTGTAAAGCTTCATTAATCTTCCTGTAATTGTCCTCTCCCTTATGTTTATATTTGCCTATGATAGTGTTATTACATTTCTGTTCTCTTACCTTCCTTATTCTTCGAAATGTGGTAATTTTAATTGATTCACTTCGTTTTAAAGATCTTTGTCTATCCGTCAGATGTTGAGTTTGATGTGCAGTCATATAAATCTCTGATTCAAACTACCACCTACTTCAGCTTTGAGCGCAGGGATTTGATTGTTTACCAGTTTGATCACGAGCTGGCGTCAGCTAAAAGAGAACCATTGGGAAAATCGGAGGTTCTGGATGTCTTTTTTATCCTAGTTTCGGGCTCTTCATCGGTACGCACCCACTGGTTTCAAACCCTGGACCTTCTGGTTACAAGACGAGCTCTTAAACTATCTAGTCACTGGAACCCGATGCAATGATCCATGAACTCCAACTTCTACCAAATCGTGATATATATAGTGCAACCAGCAGCCAATGTCACAGGCGAGTTACTAATCTCTCTCTCTGATACAGTTGACCCCAATGGGTGCCTACTGAGAAGAGTCCCGAGCTAGGACGAAACAGTTGTCCAGTACTCCCCGCTGGTTTTTCAATGGTTCTCTGAGTGATTTCAACTAGCAACCGAACTTACAAATGGATATTATCACAATCCGCCACACAGTCAACTATATTCAGACATTATTATTATTATTATTATTATTATTATTATTGTATCCTTTAGTTCCTAGAGGAACATAGGGCTTCAGCTGCGCACCTCCATTGCCTTCGGTTTTCTGACAACTTTTTCACCCTGCTCCAGGTCTGTCCACATGCTTTCATCTCCTCCTCGCATGACCTCCTCCAAGTCACCCTTGGACGACCAACTCGCCGCCTCCCTTTCCGGTTCCACTCGAGGGCTTGTCTAGTGATGTCACTTGATGGTTTCCTCAGCATATGGCCAATCCATCTCCATTTCTTTCTGCCTATTTGTTTCACAATCGGTTCCTGATTGGTTCGCTCCCAGACATGTGTATTTATTAAACTGAATGTCATCCACTGAATATGTCGTTATTGTTTTCTTAAACGAGTGTTAGTATGTTAAATTTCCCGTAAAGCATGATAATAATTTTCCATAACTATTTGGTCATGTATTATGATTATGACTGGTTAAAAGTTATCCGATCAAAGGTGGTGTACTGTCACCATCATAATTATTTCTCTAACAAACATCTATGGTGTGCATACAATATTTCAAGTTTGGTTAAGAGTTTATATCAGTTAAAGAACCATTCAAAACCACCAGGGAGTCCTGGACATCATCTACAGTATGCATTCACCAGGGTTCAAACTCAGGTTCATTCAAGCACTGGGACGCGATCCAAAGAGCAGTCCATGAATTTTAACTTCCACCGGAATCAAATCTCTACAAACTAACTGCTGAAAATTAATCTAATGCTCTCACTAGTAACTGGCTGAAAAACGAAGTTGACTAGAGTCCTAGTGAGAAGTCGTGACCAGCAGCAGGGTCTGTCTGCTTGAAAGTGAGGAAGTCAAGTACCCGCCACCGATGACATTGGCTGGTGTCAGTTGCGCTGAAATCACACATTAGTCGAAGTCGGAATTCATGGGCTGGTCATTGAGTTAGATTCGAGTGGCTGAATGGTATCTGTGCTTGACTTGTAACCTGAAGGTCGTAAGTTCGAATCTATGTAGTGTCTGTGTACTGACGATGAGTCATAAACTAGAAAAAAAACACCTGTCGTGTATTTCCTGTTGGTCCTCTAAGTGATATCAATGCGTGGTTAAACTTGATTGTTGAATTATTGAGCTGTTAGACTCTTAAAACCTTATCAACTTTAATAACAGATGTCCTTATACATGAACATATACGTATTGTATTTTATTCTTTTTAATTCAATTTCAGCACATTTAATACATCAACCAAAGAGACAAACAGTGTTCGATCAAGTGTATCAACTCGTTGGAGTAAATTGACTTCATTCAACACATCTAATACTGGTAATACAAGCAACAGCACTGGTGGTGGTGGTGGTGCTGGTAGTGGTGTCGTAAGTGGCAGTAGCATCGCTAGTGCCACTACTGGTGGTGGAATTAATGCTAACAACACTACTTCTATCAGTGCTATGATGCCGACCACTTCCATGTCTAGCACTACGCCTACTACCTCAGATCATACTCGCGCCTCTCCACCGGATAACGAAACAAAAAAATCACAGTCTCGGATAAAAAATTCACGTTTCACTTTTCGTAGACATTAAAACAAAAAGCAATAAATAAGTTGTTAATTTGTACATTGACTTTTCATTTCTCTCTCCCTCTGGGTTGTTTTCTTCGTCATTCCACTTCCTTCTCTCTCTCTCTCTCTACCTCCTACTTTTTATTGCCTCCGTGTGTGCCTGTTTGCGTACTGAATGAATAATTTGTTTTATTTTCAAAAGAATCAGCCTTAACTGTTTTGCTTTTTTAATTCTACCTCTTTTTATAAACCTTGATTGTGATTATTGTGATTTGAATGAATACAAACGCTTCTTTTTTAAATTACTACTTTAATTTGTAATTTATTTAATTATTTAATTGAGTTACTTTCTCTCTCCCTTTCATATTAGATCACACAAGACACGACGGATCAATCAACAACATACGTGTTTGTTTGCTTGTTTGCACACATCGCCACTGATATTATGACCTAATAGTTTTTCTTTTTTCCATTTGTGTCACAAGTTAATTCATGATTATCACTGCCTTTTTCTTCTATTCTCTTGATGAAACCTTTCTGTACTTACTGATTGATTGTGTACTTCATAGATAAAATTGTCTTTCAAACTGAACACGACCTACTCTATTTGTTAATATGTAATTTACGAGTACTCATCAGTGTGTGTGTATATTTGTGTGTGTGTGTGTGTGTGCGTACACTACATATCCTGAGGAGGAAACAACAACTAACGAATCAACATATCTCCCCCACTTTTTTTAATAACTATCAGGAACTATTTTCTTTTACTCCTGGAAATAATAATTGTATATTGGTGCAATTATCGTTATTATCATTATTATTATTGATGTTATTAATATCTTTATTTTTGTTGTTTTGATTTGGTTTTCTATAATTTATACTTTTCTTTGCCTTATTTTGTGTTAAACCTTCAATTGATCAATGACAATTGATTTACTTGATGAGCACCATTGCATAATGATCTCCTTCCCTATTTCTTTTGATTTATTTGTTATGTATTCTTAGCAATGTCTTTTTTTTCCTTTTTTATTTATTGATTTTTTGTGCTTTCATACTCTTTGTGTACATAGATGATAGAAAGAAATCTTCTTTTTCATCCATTGATATCTTGACAGCTATTGTGGTGTTACTTTATATTATTAAGTGTAATATAAGTGCGTCGGTGGCACAGTGGTTAGGACGCTCGCTGACCGTGCACATGGTCCGGGGTTCGATCCCCGGCCGATGCACTCCTTTACCTCACTAAGCCGAAAATAATGCTGGTAAAAGAGGAAAGTTTGAGCACATGAGGCTAGCAACCCCATCCTGTAAAATTAAACACTGCTACAGAAACTTCAAGCTACCACCTTGAGGCCCTATGTTCCACTGGGTAACATGAAGCGAAGAGAAAAAAAGTGCAATATGATATAGATACACTGACCCGTGGGGTCCAGCATCTCAGTCGGAGGTGGAGATGGTAGCACATGAATTCGAATTTCACACATCGTTGAATGAATTCCAATCCAGTGAGTGAACAGTCAACAGGCCAGCCAGATAAGCACCTTAAGGTTTAACGCTCGATCAGTGTTAGGTTTATCGGTGTGTGCACCGTGAAAGAGTCCAAAACGAGAATGAAGTAGAGCTATCGAATACTCCCTGGTGGTTTTTAGCGATTCTCAAACTTGTGGGATCCATATTGAAATTGATCGAAAGTTTTACAAAACCTGAATTTGTTAATATTATAAAACGAACCTGAATACACTTCTACACATAATCGTAAACACGATGAGACAACAAATCAGAAAATGTGTCATAAAAGTGTACATCCATTATGGGGTCGGTGTATGATAAGCCTTAAGATGAATATCGACCGACTGAATGGACAGATTAACCTACAAAAGAAATCAGTACAGTTTAACGAACTAACTGTATTCAACCAGTACAATAAAAATACCAAACAATGATTTCGATTTAGTTCAAATGAACTATATGAAAAGATTCAATATTGTATTGTTAGATTTTTCTAAATAGAATTATTTATAGTCGACATTATAGTAGTCCTTACTTGTAACTAGTAAATTATTTGGCGTACATTTCAATACTGAAGAACTAAGTCATTGACTAATCGACGAATCTACGTAGAACTTTGAATAGATGTCCAGTAGTTCTCACTGTTACACTTCGACACTAGGACATAAAGAGAAGACAAGAACAGTGCTAATATACAGTGGACATAAATCCTTATTTGAGAGAGAGAATTATTATTTGGTGTTTTTATCCAAATGTAGAAATCTTATTTCATTGACCTAGAATTATGGGGTGAAGTTGAACGAAAATTGCAAAGATGATGAGTAGTGAGTCATATCTGCTGCATGACTAATAGTTTTGAGTCGATACTATCAACAATCTCTACACAGCTGACACTCTCCTACATGGCTCAAGTCAACGATCATTTCATAGATACATTTATATGTGTGTGTACCATGTTTTTCCGGGATCATCTTAATCCTTCACATTACAGTCGTTAATAGACCCATAATTATTTTGAATAAATCGGACATGCGTTATGTATCCCAGGGTGGGTGTGTGCTTCCTGGAGTCTGTGCAGTTCTGTACAATTTTTATTAATAGTCGGTAGCTCGATTACTAGGCACATTTTACATGCATCCTTCTCCATCTTCCTAGTCAATTTACTGATATAGTATCAAAAATACCAATTTGTGATTTAAACTGTCGGATCATTGCATTTTCAGTTCATTAATGCGGCTCTTTAAATTCAATATGGCGTTGAATCTGTGGTGACAGTATTCCCCCATAAATACTCCTGTTAGTCAGTCAGTCAGTTAATTAATTAGTCGATAATACCAGTTTATGGACGCACCGTTTCTGCATACTTGTCCGAACTCTGACACCCTTCATATCTTCATGGCAAGTAAGCAAGACAAAAGAGTGAAAACAGTATAATTAAAAACAAAAGAAGAAAAGCATATGAAGAACTGTGTGAAAACAATCAGAGGAAAATGTGTCTGTGCTAGTGTGATATATTCTGATTCATATTCGTTCATAACCATAGTCTCAGTAAAGTGGCCACATGGAATGGAAGGAAGGAAGGTTCAGTCAGTTCAGTTACCTACCACAAGGACCCAAGTTTAGAAAGTCCAACCTTGTGACTTCATGGATTTCTGGCACATTCTTCCCTGATGGTCTTCCGCTTTTCATTCAATATAATCTCTCTTCTGTTCCGTCAAGTATACATCAAGGGAGGCAGTGGGTAGGCGGGAATAATTCATGATCTAAGGATCTCACTCAGATGTAGTGTCGCGCACCACACTTTGCTCTTCACTAGTAGTCGTATATTGCGCGAAAGTTAAAAGAATCTCCCATATTCCAACGGGAAGAAACCGAATATTCGCAGATAACATGTCACTCTATCGTTAATATTAATTAGTCTTTCAAGTTGAATATTTCTCAATTGTGAAGTAGCTATGCAACCGATGGTGTAATCTGTTGCTTGCCGTGTACTACAAAGGACACTACAGTTGCATGCATAGTATAACTGTCTTTGTTCTTTGATTTCCCTATCGATGTTGCGTCGACCTACTGCTGAGAATTCCATTTTTAAGCTTACAAGACACGACTATGTGGAATACTAGTTGCATGTAGCTAGTGCTATAGTGTGCACTTCACTTTTACAATGTATAGTTTTGACCATTTCACTACTCAGTCGAATTCTACACCGTTCAATAATTCGTCATTGAATGTTCCGTCATCGTATGCTGATTACTGTCGTTAGTGGGCAATTATAGCTTCCACAAGAGTTTGCTAGTTGTCGACTAGCCAGTGGTAGAATATAAATAGTTCAGCGGTTTGGATTCACCTTGTATTCCAGTTAGTGTTGGTATTCCCCTGTATGAATAGAACCGAGAACTCATATTTTAACATGCTTAAGCGTTACACCCACTAGGCCACTTGTTCAGTGGATATGATTCAATGTCATTCATACATAATTGAGTCTCATTGACATTTCTGGACTGAACAGGTCAGTCAAATATTAAGGCTTCTTGTATAGTTGCGTTGGGAATGTGGTGAGTTCTAATTTAGTTTAACAATTCTGATTGTTAATATTATACGATTAGGTTGTGGCACTAGTGTTATTTCGTGTGACTCTGATTGAAGTCAAGCAGAGAAGTAAAGCCTTCGTAGCACTCAAAAATATCCTAGAGATAAGATGCAATGAAATTGCGGTGAGTATTCCACTATTCAGTCAATCGTTCAGAGTACAATGATCAACACCTTCCAAGTTCACTCGATTTCCTGGATAATTCCCATCGAAGAGAACTATTAATAAACAACAAAACGAATATTTCAGTGAATTGACCGGGAAGAATCTCTTCGCTGAAATACTTATTGATTTAAAAAGACAAACTGATATGCCATAAACGCCGACTTCAAGCAACATCCTTCTCTTTCAAACATTAACAGACCTTGTGTACACAATGTCGGTCCGATAGGTATTTACACTTTTTGAGTACAATCCACACAATTTGTCATCGTCTAAAATTATGTGTACTTCCAAGATAATTCATGTCAACTTTACAATGATTACAGTTTGACAGGATTCAGCTGATACTTCTTGCACGGTTTTACTTCTGATCATCATAATATTCCAATAAATGAGTGACTGACACTCCTAAAGTGGTTGTTGATAATCAGTATACAACTGCTATTCCATTGAGTATGAGAAGCGTATTTAAGTAGCAGTTATCACTAAAACAACAGCTGCCACCTACACGTGGTGGTTGGGTTTACACACTACGATCACCCGACGAGAGATACTGGCTGGAACAACTGATGTCCCTGCAGGACCTACCATGCTAGAATGGTTGTTTGGCTAGCTGTTGGACTCTAAGTAGTTACAGTCATGGTGCAAGTCACTCACGTTCTGTTGAGTGTCTGAGGGAGAAGTCGTACTGTTGGCAAATCCGGATGTATATTATTACTACATTTATTTATTCCTTCTCGTTTCCAGTGGAACATAGGGCTTCAAGCTAGAGGCTTAGATTTTCGGTAGAAGTGGTGATTCTTTTACGGATGAGGTTGATAGCCTTATGTCCAACCTTCCATCTTCACCAGTTCTATAACTGGCTTACTGAGGTGAAGGAGTGTGTCGACCGGGTATTGAAACCCGGGCCACGTGAGTGGTTGGCGAGCATTCCACCACTATGCCACCGACGTTAAATACGGATCCAGGAGCAGTGGTTTGTTTCAATTGAACCACCAGACATGTTACCGTTCCAGTCTGGTGCGGAGGGCGGCAGTAACACGCAAATAGAAAACTCCGAAGATTACACATACTGACTCACTTTGCATTAGTCGGTAGCAGGTGGTAAGACACAAATTCAAATTCTACTTTCGAACAGAGTGTGCTGATTGGCCTCAAGAAATTGTCTGCTGGATCTGTTGCTCCTACTGTAACATCAGAAGGCAAGACACAGAGGCCAAAGTGTATTTTCAAGCGATCAGACCGCTATTTATATCTATGCAGTTTTATATTTTCTAATCAATCATTTAGCGTATGATTTCGGCCTACATTGAGCGACATGAAATAGAAAAAGAAATAGAATTTTTAAATATACTACGCATTCTGCAGCTTGCGGAGTACTGAACTGTGGGAAAAGTATTCTGACTCCAGCAACAAACAGAATGTTCAAACGGACAAATCGTATTCTGTAGCTAATACAGTGTTGAACTGTGGGAATCTGTGAGAATGATATATCGTTGAAACACATTGCATGTATCACAACACCACAAAACTGTCCTAGATACTTCATGAAGAAATCAACTTCCACAGCGTAGGTAGCTGCGTAATAATGACCAGCCAGAGACACTTCCATAAGCACACGAAATTCTCTTGACCATCACCCAAATTCACCTACATCACTTTACCATCCTCGTGTACCTCACTCTGTAAGTAATTTTCCACTGGTAGATCCCTCAAATTCTGTGACGATTATCAACGACTTGAGTCGGGAAAACACTACTAATGGTTTCCTGAAATCACATAGCTGACTTCCTATTGTAACATTCAACGTCAGGACTCTCTACCAAAAACCAACAAAAAAGCTCATTATCCAGAGCTCTGTCGTC